CAGACCAAATGTTCCCATAATAGTTTTCCATAATAATGGAAAAGCAGGAATTGTTCTGACATTTTTGGATATCATAGGCTCCTATTTCATAGGATGCAGCATTTCATAGGCCTCCATTTCTAGGCCTCCATTTCTTAGGTCCCACATTTCATAGGGCCCAACATTTCATAGGCCTCCAGTTTGTAGGTCCTCACATTAAATAGATCCACCATTTTATAGGTCCACACATCTCAAAACCCCCCATTTCATAAGATCCCAAATTTCATAGGCACCTAAATTTCATAGGCCTCCATTTCATAGGTCCCCATATTGCATAGGTCCCCTTGAGGAAGAATGCTTTTTAAACTATTAATAATGCATTTTAATCATTTGAAAACTTGAAGCTTTTGCTTATTCAGTTTAAAGTTTAGTTAAAAGTTAAAACCTAATCCTAACCCTAATTTTAACCTCAACCCAAAACCTAATCCTATCCCTCATTTGTTTTTGACATGTTACTGAGAGTCCACTGAGTGTTTGTTTTATCTAAAAAGGACCACTCAAAATAAAGTGTCACCATTTTTAGCCACACTCTTTAAAAAAGTGGTTCTTCAAGGGTTCTTTAGTAATGGCAATGGTTATACATAGAACCATAACAGCATTTAAATGGTTAAATTGTCAATGTAATGCCTATTGTATAGCTCTTTAAAGAAATGGTTCTGTATAAGTTAAGTGACCCTATTAGCCAACTGTGTTTGCACACAGAGGAATTAGACCTCCGCATTTAACCTATCCATGCAGTGAAACACCCACATACATGCACACCAGTGAACACACACACTAGGGGGCAGTGAGCACCCCTATCCAGGGCGCTCGGGGAGCAGTTGGGGGTTAGGTGCCTTGCTCAAGGGCACTTCAGTCACGTACTGTCGGCCAAGGCGACCTTCCGGTCACAAGGCTGGTTCTCTAACCTCCAGCCCATGACTGCCCCAAGAAATAGCACCAAGAAAGGGTTATGCTATTGTTACAAGTCTTAGAATATATTGTGGAATCACATAAAACCGTTTTTACTAAGAGAATACACACTGTAAAGGGCAATAGTGCATGTTATTACAAAGTTGCATGCTACTTATTTAAGACCAAATTGTTATTTTACTCAAACAATGTATGTGTTTAAAAGAAAAATTTGTAATATGACTGAAATTTTTTTAATTATTAATGTATGTAAATTTGCTCATTACTTAACATTTTCTTGAAATTTTACTTTCATCCAATTTAATAATTGTATTTAATTAATGAATTACTTTTTTTTTAAAGTAAGCTCAATGTGTTACAGTTTACATAGCAGTAACAAAACCTCATTTCCATTTTTTATTTTTTTTTAGCACCATTTTAAAACACCAGCTGTTTGTTCCTTTTTACCATGTTCAAATGACCCCATCATAATCGGAAAACAAGTAAATTCTGACATGTACAGATATTTTTAACTACAGTACCATGGAACACAGTTACAACCACTATTAAGGTAGGATTTTAAGTGCCATTGATGTAACTAGGATTTTATGGGCCACAGTTAAAAAATGGGCCCCTCATATTGCCAAATATTACTTTTGTTGATTAAATAATGACAATGTAATTTGCTTGTTTACTCACTATCGTCACACATCAAACAAGTTAATGCTCTCAAAGTATACTGCTCCAGCCACCTGAATGTTTACATTAGACTAAATATTTGGATGGCTATAGTTATATGTCATGTTTAGCAGTCTGACATGCAACTGGCCAAATAATAGGGTAACATACACATAGTTTTTATTAAAAATATGTTTTGATACAATATTTGAACTCAGTAGTTTAGAATTTTTAAGATTGTATTAAAATAACGAATATATGGGTCCGTTTGAATATGGTTGGTATGCATTATGAATGGTTGCCTGCATTATGAATAAGAGGGAGATGAGCAGATGTCAGGACTGTATGTATAGTGTTGATGGAAGTTATGGGGTGAGGTAGGTTAAGAAATTGAATCTTTCTGTGAGTCGTGGGTGTAAAACTGTGTCGGTATCCATATGAAGGGTCAAGAAAAGGTTTTACTCCCTGCCCCATGGGCCCCAGAGCCACTGACAATAATTAGTTACTCAGGTTAAAGTTTATATGCAGACATTTTAGCTCCAGTAAAAGAAAAAAACACATCAGTCGAATTCTCCTACAAAGAGAGAATTACAGCTGTGTGAGAGTCTGTGTGCAAAGAGAGAGTGAAAGAGTGTTTGGGGTCAGAGTGCTGGAGCATTAAAGGGTTAAATCTCTTTCATTATTACTCTCAGAATCGGCCTAAGGGGATGCAAGTATAAATGATTAGAGAATAAGACAGAGAGGAGAGAGGAGGAACGAGAGAGATGAAGTGAGATGAAGACAGAGAAGAAAGACAGAGAAAGAGAGAGAGAGAGAAATCTCAGAGCAGACTCATATAAATCATAACAATCATAACCCCGGGACACTTCATGACAAAGAGAGAGAGAAAGAGAGAGAGAGAGGGAGAGAGAGAGGACAGTATGAGAAACAGGAACATTGAAACGTGATTATTTAAGCATACAGGGTGTTGTGTTATAATGCACCACCAGATCTCTGATCACATTCAGTGCTGCGTGTCGGACCATCCACTGCCCACACATTAAAGAGCTTGAATCCAGTTTCTGGTCCTGTATTTTCAAATTACTGGTTGTTAACTGAACTGTTTATGTAACTGATTGGTCACCGACTGTCATCCCTACCAGTACGATGTATGATAAGCATTTGATTATTGTCATGGCCAAATTCAGGACATTGGAAAAACTACAAAATGTTGGGAAAAAATTCAGTACATTAGAAAATTAGAATTAGAATAGTACATTAGAATACTGGGTAAAATTCAGAACAATTGGCACAATTTAGAACATTAGACAAAATTCTGATTATTAGGCAAAATTCAGAACATTAGGCAAAATTTAGAACATTGGGCAAAATTCAGAACATTAGGCAAAATTTAGAACATTAGGCAAAATTCTGAAAATGGGCAAAATTCAGAACAGTTGTTAGTCAAAATTTAAGAAGTGTCAAAATTCAGAACTTTCAAAAACTTCGAAAAAATTCTAAACTTTTAAAAAAATCTGAAATATTAGGCAAAGTTTAGAAAATGAGGCAAAATTCAGAACATTAGGCACAATTCAAAACAATCGGCACAGGTCAGAAAATTAGACAACAATTCTGAATGGTAGGCACAATTCAGAACATAAGGTAAAATTCTAAATATCAGACAATATTCTGAACATTAGGCAAAATTTAAGACGTCAAAGTTCAGAACATTAAAAAAATTCAAAACACTAGGCAAAATTCATGCAAAATACAGAACATTCTGTAAAATTTAAAATGTAAGGAAAAATTCCAAACATTAGGTAAAATTCAGAACATTAAGTAGAATCTAGATTGCTAGGCAATTTTCAGAACTGTAGGAAACACTCATTGAGCAAAATTGAAAAAGAATGAAAAGGTCCAGAGGTGACGGGACTCCTTTTCATCCTTAAAGCTTTTTACTGGCTCTTCACTGAGATGATGGCTGACCACGGGAGGGCGGCGGACGATGCCATCACGCTGTAATTGCTTTTTAGTTTTAATTTCTTTGTGTTTAACACAAATAGGATAGTTCTATTAACACTGAGTGGGCCGCGTTAATAAGTTTCTATGACCTGCAGGAATTCCTAATCATCAATCCGAGCATAGGTCTAATGACCTCCTAATCTAATACACTTATTAAGAACATCAGTCTCTCTCCCTCTCTCTCTCCATCTCTCTCTCACTTGCCCCTCCCCCTTCTCTTTCTGTCTGTGCCCTCCCACCTCCTTGTCTCTCTTAAGGAAAGCTAATTAAAATAGCCATTTGGCAGCCCAGCGTCCTAATTGCTATTCCCATCATTGCTAGTCGATCGGGAGGGGATAGAGAGAGTGGGAAAAAGAAAAGATGAGTGAGAGAAAGATTGATAATGAGATAATGAGTCATTAGAAGCGTACATTAGCGTCTACAGCCATGCCTAATGCCCTCTCAATCAGCTTTAGCTCTCTCCTTTCTCCCGCTCTCTTCTTCTTATTGTTCTGTCCGTCAATCTGTCCATCTCTCCTCTCGTATCTGATGAGGAGGAGGAGCTTCTTCGGGCTGGGATTTCTTCTGAAGCAAAAATAAGCTTCTTACCTGAAATGTATTTGTTTTGTAAGTGGTAGATTCATCTTTGTCTTTGAGCATAATAGGCCTGTTTTTAGTCGCTCCACCTGAAAGATTCATCATGGGAACTATCTATTGAAAATGCATCTGTTGCTCCACCTACTGGTGAAATGCCATCACATCCGCTGATTTTAGAAAATAGTGCTGACCACAGACAAATTCTTTGTCATCAAAAATAGGTTTTTATTTGATTGCAATCCAGTCGTATTGCCTTGCGTGTTTGTGTATACGTGTCTGAAAATAGACAAAAAGAGAAAGAAACATATTCTGGATTATACGAGATAGGGATAAATGAGATAATCACCAAATTATTCAGTGATCACAGATCTTATCCGGCCGACTGCGTGATTACATCACCCCGGGCGAGTCAGTCTGTTTACTGAACAGATGATCCTCACTTCTTTTTTTTCTACAATTACTCTCGTTCCTAGCGTTATGCAAAGAGGGGATTAGTGGAAACTTTAATGATTCCAGGAAGTGGTCTGTGCCTAATCATAAGCACTCAGTTGGTCTTGGCAGGGAATCCTTGGAGCTGAGAGGGGCACAGCTCTGCGTCCACACAGAGAGAAGAATGAGAGAAAGATAGGAAGGAAGGGAGAGAGAATGAGAGCAAAGTGAATTATGAAAGCGAATATGTGGTTAATGTGGTGCCGTAATTATCATTAGAACATCTTAATAAGGGCATTTCTGTCCTTTTCTGATAAACATCTTTTATCTCTCAGTAATCCAGTTAATCAGTCAAGCTTGCTTTTTGCCTGCTCTCAGCTTAGCGATCATGAAGTCCTTAAAATGTTGCAGTTTTCCTTCACAACGTTCTCTTTCAGTATCTTCTTCTTGGAGTATTTCATTGTCTTCCAGTCTTTCCTGCATATCAGTGTCCAAAGAAGCATGAGGAAACCTCCCATGGCCAGCAGAGGCAGAGATAGCAAGAGTGCTGCCACATCCAAGCTGTAGTATGAATAGAAGGGCATGGTATAAGCTTCTGTGCGAAGGTGGGGCACCCCCTTGTGTCGGATGACATACTCGACCCAGAATGCGGCTTTGTCCAAAGGACGCATTGGCTGGTCCCTGTGCAGGCGGGAAAGCTTCTGCATGTTGAGGCGGTAAGATGGATTCTCTAAGATTTCCCGCAGTGCCTCCAGGAAACCTTCTGCCGTAAGTGTGGCAGCATCTAGCATGCGAGCGGCACCACGAGCCTCTAGTCGCACCACGTTATCCATCTGGTCAAAGAGCAGTGGAAGTCCTAGCACCGGCACCCCATGGTAGATGGCCTCATAGAGGCCATTGGTGCCACCATGGGCCACAAAGGCACGAGTCTTAGGGTGACCCAGAAGGTCACTCTGTGGCATCCATTGCATGAGCAGAGTGTTGTTGCCCAATGTGGATGGCTTCTTCCCCACAAACCTCCACACCACCTTCTGAGGGAGCTGTGCAAATGCAAGAGCAATGGCTTCAGTCACTTCCTGGGGCAAAGCAGTGATCAAAGTACCCAGAGACATTATGACCACCCCAGCTTCACCAGAGCTTTGCATGAATGCCTCTAGCTCAGCTGGCAACTCTCTGGCTGAGTGGCACTGAAAGCCTCCAATGTATACCAAGTTGGGCATGGAGGGACGCGGGAACTCAAACACAAAGTCCACTCGCATCAGCCAAAGGTCAGCAGCATACTGCATAGCCGGGATGTTGGCACCTGGAGGGAAATGATGGCGTAGAAGGTCATTGTAAATTGGCAGAATCAACCAGCGTTCCTGAAGTAGGTTCAGGCTGTAGTACAGGAAGTTGTGGGCTCTCTCCAGCAACCCCATGTGGTCCGTCAACCCAGTACCAGGCACGGGCACATAGGAGATGGGCGAGGGAGCGATGGAGAAGTGGCCCTCACCGAAAGTGGTCCATCGCACATTGTAGACCAAAGGCAAATTGAGGTAGTGTGCTACAATAGTCCCTGCAGGCATCCCAGGGTCAGTCAGCATCAGGTCATAGTGGTCATCCCTCAGTTGAGCCATCAGATCTTTGTCCTCCAGCAAGGTGCTCAGCATCCCACAAGTTAACCTGTGGGCCATCTTCATTATTCGGCTCAGCTCTGACACCTGGGCCAGAGCTCCCGCGAATGGGCCCTTCCTGCGGCCCTCCAGTACATTGTGCATGGCAGTGCTAAACAGATCTACACCAGCTTCCTTCTTGACCAGCTTCACAGGGATAGAGGTATAGTAGGGTGAGCGCTCCTGCACAAACCAACTCTTAGATTGCCGGATCACGCTCAGCTGGTGCCCACGGGAGTGAAGCTCCTTCACCAGCACCTGGACAAGATAAATGAAGAACAGGCTGAAGATGGCATAAAGCAAGTGAGCTAACCTTGGCAAGTAAATGAAGAAATCCCTTGGAATCATCTCTGGTTTTTGTTCTGATTGTGCTGGCTACTGTCACTGAGTGGTTCCCAAGCTATCCACACACTTCTCTGCTAAAACACACTTGATTCAAATTACCAGGTCATTTTAAGCACCTCATGAGTCGACCGAGTTATGTTAGAGCAGGGAAAATGCAAGTGCCATATGCTTTGTCAGCAGTACCTCCATGTTCACCCAATGGCTGCCTTCCATGGGAAACACCAGGATCTTGCCACCATGGCAACCACTGAACAGAGTGGAGAAGAAGGGTATGAGGAGAGGGGCGAGTAGAGGCTTCACACACCCCAACATCCCTCTGCTTCTATTCCTTTAAACAACAAAACAACATCCCAAGTTTGGACCAGAACTTACAGAATAAAAGTCTCAAAGTATCAAAGGAATGGTTCAGTCAAAGTCACTTCAGTAAATAGATGCAAGCAGGTCATGCTAACAGCTAGCTTTCAAGCGCCTTTTGGCTTCCATTCAATGTACACCACAATAGTACTTCTGCCTTGACTCTGCTTTTCGTCAAAGTACTAATGAAACTGCTGTCATAGTTAGTAACAGAAGCACTGCTCCACATAGACTGGTTCAGACAATTACATTCGCTAATCAAATCTGCTTCTTTTGCCTTTCAATCACTTACCAGACAGTATGCAGCTAATAAGAGTGCAGGCTCACTGTGCAGTGCTAATTTTCTGCAAAGAGAGAGTTGAGTAAGCATTAACATGCATACTTGGACTACTTTGCCATCCTATGGCACGGGGAGGGGACAACTAGATTAGCTCTGCTTGTACAATGTAATCCCTTTGCTAAGCCAGGGGGGACCGGCCTCTTTGTGTTGTGAAATACTTGAAGTCCTGCTTCAGTTGGCACTTCAGTAAAATAAAAATGGCTTGATGGAATGACTGACACCAGGAAACCTTGAATTATCGCATTTTTGTGGACTGACCACAGACCACACTAGCATTCTGCAGAAACATTATGATTATTTATTATCCACGCTTACTTTAATTCTCAGAAATGACATTGCAGGTGCATATCGCTGCTGTCGGAACAAAACCTTATGTAAACCAGTATGTAAAATGCAAAAAAAGCAGTGATTTTTAAATCCACTTTGACCAGTTTTTAAACAAAAGTAGTGCAAAGACAAGATTTTTGATGCTTTATATTGGCAACCCCCAAAAAGGTGGGACTGGAGCAATTGTAGGGCTGTTAAATATTTAGGAAACTTTTAAAAGAGGTGATACCATTGGGTTTAAAGGAGCATCCAGGAAAGGTCGAGTCCTTTATGAGTGAGGATGGGTTGAGGCTCACCACTTTACCAAAAAATTACATCAGAAAATAGTCCAACTGTTTAAGAATAACGTTCCTCAATAAGCATTTGAAATGATTAAAGTTATTTTACCCTATACTTGCATAATATCATCAAAATAATCAGAGGAATCTGCATTAAAACCAGCCTGCTTCAGTGATGGATGGATAGCCGCATGAGCTCGGAAATATTTTTATGAATATTATTGACTGTTGTTCATCGCTAGATCCACAAATGCACGTTGAGACTGTCCTATGCACAGGAGAAGCCATATCTCAACTATGTTTGGCTCCCAATCCGGCCCTGGCTGCAGTGTATCTCCATTTTTGTTGTTTTTTTTAGTTTTTGACATTATTTGAAAGTGCCTGTTGCCCTTTACATTGTGTGCAGTGAATGGACCAAAAGAAACGGCCCAAAAGTGACTTGGAAAAACATCTGGTTCCATTGACTTACATTAAAAATAAAGTATGTTTTTTTCCTTCTCCTGTGAAGTGACCATTTTGGAGATATGAGGCTTTGTTCCGACAGCAGCGATATTCTACGTAATACATGTAAAAACAGTGACCCACAAAAGTGGAGGTTATGCTGCAAGCTCTTCTAACCGTGTCATGACCATCTGCTGCATGTTCTGCATTGAAGTTCAGTCGTGACTGAGCACTGCATGATCCCATTAGCTTGAAGGACCCCTAGCAACTGGTCATCTTTGTGACTGGGAAGTGATGCTTAACGTACAAAGATCCATTGGAAGGTGCCAGAAACTGGACACTGCTTGATCCGGCAGAGATTACGCTTCTACAACTCCTTGGGTTGCAGTTTTCTGACCTTAGCTTCTGCCATTTGTGTCATTAACATGCAGGTTACAGATAAAAATGTAGTAACTCCATCCACTGATCTGTACAGTACTGAGATAAGATTACTCAAGCTGTTTTTATCTTTGTAGAACAAAAACAGACAAGTTCACTGCTTTTGGTGTGCTTTCTTCAGAATGACTGTGAAAATTGTTGTTGAAAAGACATAAAGCAGTTTCTTTGTTAGTGGCCTTTCTGAATGAATGTGTATTGAGTTATTATTATAATTATAATCAAATTATAGTGATTATTAAGGATGCTTTTACCTCATGAAGCTACATTTGAATCTGAAGACCCAAGCAAGTCTTGTTCTTTAGATCAAACCACCTTAAACCACTTAATAATAATAATAATAATAATAATAATAATAATAAACTACTGAAAGATCTCCTTCAAATTCATCGCACATGACTCGATTCATATATATATATATATATATATATATATATATAAAACACTGACAATGCCACCCTGACAAATCAATATTTTAGCATTTTTATATACCCTGTTCTTCAGTGGTCAGGACCCCTACAGGACCACTGAGTATATCAGACACAGCAGTACTGCTGGACTCTTTAAACACAGTGTCCACTCACTGTCCACTCTATTAGACACTCCTACCTTGTCAGTCCACCTTGTAGATGTGAAAGTCAGAGACGATAGCTCATCTGCTGCTGCACAGTTTGTGTTGGTCATCCTCTAGTCCTTCATCAGTGGTCACAGGATGCTGCCCACAGGACGCTGTTGGCTGGGTGTTTTAGGTTCTCAGTCCAGCAGCGACACTGAGGAGTTTAAAAACTCCAGCAGAACTCGTACCAGCGCAGCACACATTAACACCCCACCACCACGTCAGTGTCACTGCAGAGCTGAGAATGACCCACCACCCAAATAGCACCTGTTCTGTGGGGGTCCTGACCACTGAAGAACAGGGTAACAAAGTATGCAGAGAAACAGATGCACTACAGTCTGTAACTGTAGAACTACAGAGTGAAACTATATGGTCAGTGGAGCTGATAAGATGGACAGTGAAACAGGTGTAGAAACAGGTGTAGTTAATGTGGCTGGTTGGTGTATTTTCTTCAATATTACTGTTTTTCACTGTAGCAGGTGAACAGTCAGAAGACCAGCATGGAAACTTTCTATGCATAGTTGTCACTGTTGTCGTCACTAACTATGAGGAGGACAGCAGCTCATCCTGCTCATACCTGACAGTCAGTAAAGCACAGATAAAGTTACTCTATAAAGTTGTGTAAGTAAAATGAAAGACAGAACACAGTAAAAATGTTCTCATTGACCTCAGAACTGCATACATTTTCCATATTTTTCACTATTAGTTCTCACAAAGCCTGACTTGACAAAAGTAGTAAAAAAAGTGACTTGAAAGAAGATTTGACAGTCCAGCACGTTCCTCAATAAACATTTGAAAGGATTTAAGTTATTTTACCCTATACGTGCATAATATCATCAAAATATTCAGAGGAATCTGCATTAAAACCTGCCTGCTTAGGTGATGGATGGATAGCCGCATGAGCTCGGAAATGTTTTTATGAATATTTTTGACTGTTGTTCATCGCCAGATCCACAAATGCACTTTGAGACTGTCCTATGCACAGCAGAAGCCATATCTCAACAACGTTTGGTTCCCAGTCCAGCCCTGGCTGCAGTGGACAAGCCTCAAGAGATTGAATAAGCCCCTGAGTGGCCTTCCTAGAGTTGATTCCTCATTGGCCTCTTTTCAGTGCACAATTCAATAAACATCAAAGCTTCAGTCTAACACCAATTTCTAAATACTAAACGGTGCTGATAACCGGGAGAGAGTAGTTTGCTGTCAGCTCTGCTCACCACAGAACAGCTTTGATTTTGACTAACAAAAGCTTTACTGACACAAATTTAGATGACTATGACTCACCTCTGAGGAAGCGAAGTTGAGCGGCTGATGTTGGACAGAAAGCTGAAATTAAACCTGTTCTCTGATGTCTGGAGCTGGAGCCTCTTAGCTAAGCTAATGCCAGCCGGCTCATCTCTCTTAGTTAAATTAGCATAGCTGAAGCGACCAAAACACCCCAGTGTAGGTTCGATTGGACTGGTGCTCTGCTATCTCAAGTATAGATGACAAGTAATTACAACAGCGAGAGTAAAGGGGACTGATTGATGATGGAGTGACAGAAAGCCGAAATCAAACCTGCTCTGCAGTGCTTAAGCTGTAGCCTGCTAGGCTAAGCTAACGTGAGAGTATGGTGCCACCCACTGCAGTACGGACTCAGTAAAAACACTCGTTTAGAAGATTAAGACTCAAATCTGAGAGCACAAATTCGAATGACAAGTGTTGAAGTGATAGACAGATACAAAATAGACTTGCTCTGTGGTACTTTGAGCTGTAACCTGCCCGGCGATGCTAATGCTAATGTAGCTAGTTATCCAGCTACAGGTGAAACCCCCCGCAGTACAGTCTGTTTCAGTAACAGATGCTCAAATAATACCGTTTAGAGGATAAAGAAGATGAGTGCAGCCGAAAGAGACCGGAGTTGGAGTGACAGACAGAATCCAACATGTGGTGGGTGGTGTGTGCATGGTTATTAGCCTGTTAGCAGTTAGCCACTCGTTTGTGCAGTTTTCTTCAGTATTTCCTGGTTCTGATTTAGTGGTACAACAGATGGAAAAAAGAAACCGTAACCGGTCTCACGAGTCCGGACCAGCATGGAAAGGCCCAGTACAGCCATGAGAACCATTTGGCTCCATAGTGAAAAAGTGGCCCTTGATAATTTGGGAAATTTGGTCATATTTATATTGCTGAGAATTTCCATATTCATTATCAAACATTGACCAGTGAGCCCATAATCATATTATTATTTGTAATAACAGAAAAAAATAATAAAAAAAAATACATTTTACTTCACTCTGTTGACATTGGATAAACTTTAATATGCTGCGAACCACCTGTGATTACGAAAAGGTCATGTCTCATAACTCATTTCTGATGTTTATTTAAAAACCAGAGCAAGTCTTAAAATAAATGTGTTTATTATCTTTACAAACACTGGATTATTACAGGAATACAAGAGTCTTTTGTTATTTTTCTGCTCCCCTTTTTCCAAATAGCCCTTAAATAAAACCTCAAATTACTGTTTCACCCTCATAACAGTGCATCATACACGAAGCATAATGGATAATTAGAGACAACGCAAGCCTGCGAGACAAGACGACCTCCGCCACCTACACTGCACTGACCACCACTGCAGTCGGCTGGACTGTGGTGACAACGGGGGCCGTGGTGACGATGGGGGCCGTTTGTTGGGCGTTGACGGCCATGGCGAACCTTTGGCGGTGCTCTATCTCTCTGTTCATCTGACACCAAGAGCACCAAATGCAGAAACAGGAGATAGCAATGTCCTCACAAATGTCGCCCTGAAATATCAAACATATGAAAATGAAATAATATTCATAGTTATGTATTTCAGTGTTTACAGTACTGTGCAGCTCAGATCACACCCTTCACTCCAGCCTCCACTCTTTTCAGGAGACTCGCTTTCAGTTCCTCAAAGAATCTGCAGACACACCTCCAAAGTTCAGTCTTAGAAGCTGGTTGATCATTTTCTGAAGTACTCAAACACATTCAGTGGTGTTGAGGTCTGGACTCTGGGGTGGTCAGTCCATCGTTCAGCTTCTTTGTTTGATGTGTCCGTCTCCTTTTCTCAGTGAGGTTCTTCTTGACAGCTACACATCCTTTCAGACCCATAGCGCTGAGTCGTCTTCTCACAGTGGAAGGATGGACAGAAACACCTGTGGATGTTTTCAGATCTGAAGCAGCTTCATTTTCTCCTCTCTCTCAGAGATGAAAGCTTTAAGTGCTGTTTATCTGATGGGGGCAGTTTTGGTGTCGACCAGCTCTTCCAGGTGGTTGTTAGGAATCTCATTTTCTCTATAATTTCTTGTCCAGGTTTGGAAATTCCAGTTTTTTCACTACACTTCTGCAAGTGGATTATCTTATATCTAATCTAATCTAATAAACTCAGAAATATCACTTGAAAAATGAATAACTTGTACTCAATGGCTGTTTAGACTGGAAATTAAATGAACACAGGTTGGTCTCTGACTTGCACAGTACTGTGCATATTAAATATTTTTACATTTTTTCCTCTATTATATCTTGTTTTAGTTATTCATTTTACAGTACGCAGAATTTTATGCAGTCTGAGTGACACTCAAAGAACCATTTGAATGCATAAACAGTTCTTTGTCAAATGGTTCTTCTCTATGATGGACAAGTTTTATAAGGTTCTTTAAAGAATTTTTTTAATAAAAAAAAGCACCAAAAGAATAAAAAAAACTTTCAGCAGTTATAAACTGCACTGTTTTTTACTTTAAATTCACTACAAAAATGAAAAAAATATTTCCCGCATTTCATACCATTAAGGTATGTACTGATTGGTGGATTAAGTATATATTGTGGTTTAGACAAGCCTCATAAATTGTTTGGTCATCATCTGCTATCTGTTCATAGTGTAAAAACCTCGAAGCTTACCGAGATTTGGTATTTGTGGCGTATTGCCACCCGCATGGAAAGAGTGACCGGTGGCACACAAATGGCCAACCCAAAAGCCGCCATTATTCCTGGGCCACAAATATCCACCAGAGGAAGACAGGTGTTCTCACCAAACTTGGCTGTCGTGGAGCAAGCAAAGCAAGGGCAGCACCAGAATGCATAGCAACCTAAAGACAAGACATATAGATGCTATAATATCCACTGACATCCAGACAGCCCTTTAATTTGAGGTGCATTCTTAGTCCAATTGACTGTTTTGCCAAATTATGATTAGCATGCCTCTCAGGCGATCACCATCATCTCTAAATGTTCTTTCGACCTTCAAGTGAAGGAAAAACTTCAACAGAACTCCTCAAAACAAACCTACAGTGAGAACGGCAGTGGCAGTAAATTATTCAGAATTATTAGAGTAGGAATTGGTGGAAAGTGCTGGTGAGGAACGTATAATGATGTGCACTCACAGGAGCTCATGTCCTGGCAGCAGTGGCACAATCCAGTACTCCATGAAGTGATCCGAGGCACGACCTTTGGCGCCTGCTGAACCACTATAGTCGTTGCCGCCATGATCAACTGTGTAGAGCAAATACAGAAACTGCAGGAGAGAACATAATGAAAGCATCATTTTAAGAGATTAATAATCAGAGATTAATAACTGGTTCAACACACTGGTTTATCAGTCTACTCAGGCTTTAGCAGAGCTCAGTAACACTGAGATTAATAACTGATCACATTGATTTATCAGTCTACTCAGGCTTTAGTGGAGCTCAGTAACACTTCTTCTAATCATATGTTGGTTTTTATTTGTTGTTGTTGTGTGTTTGTTTGTTTGTTTGTCTTTTTAAGCAAAAATGTAAAAGATAACTCTGTTCTGAATTCTGCCGTTACAAAATATAAATTGGACCAAATACAGTTACCTAATATTGGTATTCTAAATGTTTTACCATGTTCAAAAATTGTTTTGGGATATGTGTCCTCCAGCGTTTGTTGCACTTGGTTCATTTTGCTCTGGACTCTGATTGGAGGAACTAGAAACTGCCCCGTGTGTGTGTGTGTGTGTGGGTGTGTGTATGGTGTGAATGTGGTCGACAACAGCTGGAAAAAAACACCATGACTTGTGCAAACGCTAAAATATGTATCACAAATACTTGCAGCCCATTACATCTCAACCATGTTAATAGAGCCAGCTGTGTTGGATCTGAACTCTTCAGTGTGGTAGATCTCTAGGACCAGGACTGAGCACCCATGTATTACAGCAACACAATTATTGCTAAAACAAAGTAAACCAAGAGACTGGTCAATGTTGATCTAATATATTTTATTCATGTGGAAATGATGGACACGTTTGAGTCCAGGAAATTCAATGCATTACTGTTTTTCAGTGCAGGCAGTTTAACTTTGACAAGATTTATTAAAAATACCAGGAAGAGAAAGACAGCAACAGTTTTCACTGTTGTTATCTTAAGCAAAAGTAAAAGGCAGCAGGCATGCAGCATTTTTCAACCTGCTCCTCCAGTTTATACTTAGCAGTCAGTGAAGAGCTACTTTTAGCTTGTGGAACTAAAATGAGAAAAGGAAAACATTAAAATGTTCTAAAAAATCTCTATTAAATTTGATTGAATTGAAAAAATTTCAATTCAATGTGGTTTACTTGCACTTATTTCTCATAAATTTAATTCGACAGTCCAGCATTTGAGAACAACTGAAACTTCCACAGCTCTACTGCTTGACTGCCTTTCGTCAAAATCTGTTGAAATGATTCAGTTTTGAGATGATGGTACTGCTTTCATGCCACTAAAGGTAACAGAAGACGCTAACTTAAGTTCCTAGCCCTACTTTCTGTAAAAACATAAATAAGTCATTACATTCATAGTCCAAACAAAAGATTTAATTTGATTTCTGAGGTCTCACCTGTGTCGCCGAGCAGAAACAATAAGACTTTTTCTGGGTGGAATTTTCAAACCAGCAATGCAAAGAACGCACATCACAACCCGTATGTCAACAAACAGGCTACGCTGTCCAAGACTGCTCATATCACTTACAATCTCAAGTCAGTCTTAGTTCATAAAGTTTTGATTCTTATTGAAAATCATGTTGAAGAAAGCCAGGATGTATAACTTCCATTTTCTGGAGACAGGTATGAAAATACAAAGTATGCATTTTAATAAAGATTAATTAGTCAGTCTTCCTTGTGAGTTTCCCCTGACCTGAACATTTTAGTGTTTCCTGCTCCAACATCGCTGTTTTAGGCAGAGAATCTGACGTTCATTTTAATTTCTGTAGCTATAGCAAACCAGCCATTTTACTTTTAGCAGAACCAGTTTGTGAGGAGTCTGGCCACTTCCTATTTCCCACATTATATCAAATACATACTGCAAAACAGCGTGAGCGAGTCTTTAGTGAATGGTGGTAAAAGGAGCTAAATGGCTAAAAATGAAAAGTTAAAATAGTTTCTAATCACTCACCCAGAACTTTCCTTCAATTTTAGACAGTAGAAGGATGGATTTCACTAAAAAAGCAAAGAAAACTCACCTGTGTGTTTCCTTTTTCTACAGCAAACGGGTTTTGGGCAGCAGGCTGCTAAATTTACTGCTACTGAGTGCTGATTGGTTGGCGAGTGGAGCAGCTCATTGGCTGTTCGTGCATTAGCCACTGTTCTAAACTTCTATAACTCAAGTTCAAAAGCACTCAAAAATATAACCAGAGCGTTAAAATGTTTTATGCTGTTCAGGATATGAATGAATTCTTGTACATTAAAAAGTTTATAAAGTATTTATAAACTATGATTTTGCTCAAATGCTCCATATTAACCCATTCATTTTGGACTTACGTGGGAGCGCCCTCTAGCGTTTGAGAAACCCAGAAGACATTACAGAGTGGAAATTTTCCTCTCTACAAGTTCTCTGCTTTTAGCTTCTAGGAAGCTAGTTCTATCTTCTGCTAGCTCCTACATAGTTTAGCGGGAACAGATGTGATCTCATAATGGAAATACATGTCTGTGGTTACCTTGTTAAACTTTTGGTGCTTGATTGCAGTGAAATTCTCAGCTAACAACCATAACTTGCCTCAAAATTCCTCTTATAACGTCCAGAGTACAATCAATAACACAAGCAAAACAAGCTACCTAGCTAAATGCTATTGTTACCTAATGGAACTCTTCTTCATAACCAGCGCTAATGTTTATTTTTACCCCATGTAATGTGTTCTCCACACACACAACACACATCTACGAGTCTAGTTTACTTTTTTGGGGGAATTTTCAGCCATGCTAACTTACATTACATCCATGGGCTAACGACAGACTCCATCAGACAATGTTGACGAGCGCACCAGCACCCCCTACTGTGAACTTTGCTTTAATGAAGCATTGGACTGAGTTTGAAATTTCACATTCAGTGACTATTATTAAAATTATCATTTATTTTACCTGATGGCTTAAACAACATGCACTCAATTTCATCTACAACTCTAACAGACCTGCTTCTTCACCTTCTTTCTCGTCCTGTGCTTGTCTGTTTAGTACCATCCTAGTCTGTCTTCATTAAACTTAGATCTACAAGATCTCAAGGATCCATGAGATCTTTTTTGTTGTTTAAACTGGCAAAAATCCCAACCTATTCAGAGCTGCCACCTTCTAATTACCATCTACAGACTGAGAAATTCAGCGATATAAAACTGTCACGATCAACACAACTCAGTATTAGCTATAAATACTAGTGTGACTGAATAAAAATACTTAATACAAAAACAAGTAATCTGTAAACTTTCTTAAAATTTCTTAAAAAACTTTTATGCTATATTGCCAATCGCCTTTTCTTTACCTCATGCGAACTTTAACAGAGCTAGCTAACAAGCAACCAGCTAAAAATCTGACAACTAGCTATATTGACCACAATTTGCACTGAGTGAAGGTAGATATCTGCACTCTGTGACTACGAACTAGTTCAGCCTGTATATTATACATTTTGAATAAAAGAGCTTTAGTTTAGTACGCCTTTAGCTAAACGTCTGTCACAACTTTAGCGGTTGCTAACTGACATTATTTCATAGAGTGAGTAGCACCAGAGACCCTCCCCCAGGTCTGATACGATTGGCTACCAACTTAAATGGTCTAATATGATTGGCTGAGCCAATGACACACTTTTTCCCACTGCTAAACAGCAAGATTGTCTCCTGTTATTACGTTAGAAAAGCTCTGGTAGCACCACCTGGATGAGAACAGCAGCAGCACCTCCCCTAAATCACACCCTGCTAACACGGTATACAGTAAATTTGAAGTCAAGTCAGCTTTATTGTCAATACTACAATATGTACAGGACATACAGAGTATTGAAACTGCGTTACTCTCAGACCCCATGGTGTAAACACTACACACTTAACGTAAACAAAACAAACACTAATTGTAGAAAAATAGAATTATAAAAAGAAAAATAAATAATAAATAATATAAATATAGGAAGGTCCTGAAATTAACCCTAAAGTGACATAAGGCACATACAGATTAAGGTATGTGGGTATAAATAGTGTAAATATAAACAGTAGTGCAAATTGGAATGAGCTTATGGAGCAGGTAAAGTGATGGGTGCCTAACAGTCCCTGGATATGTCAGAGTTCAGTATTGGGGAGTGGGGGTCAGGAAGCTGTGTTTGGGTCCGAACTTTGTGTGTAAATTTGGACACACAATGGAAGAATAAATGAAATAAATACAATTACGCTGATGATTTGAATTAATATCCTACATTCCTTTGAAGGGATTGAATAATATTTAGGGGGGTTTAACTGGCCTAGTGACACCCCTGCTCTTTATTGGTCTTCTCGCACACACTTGCAGCATGTAGCTCTTTATGCTGGGCTATTGGAAGTATTCAAATACAGAAGAAAACTGCTGGGGTTTATCTACAGCTGCCGATCTCACCATGCTAAGCTAAGATAGTTTAGGGTGAGCAACTATAGGACAGATAGCTAGCAATCTGGAGGCTAACTAGCCAGCATGATGATCTTACCAAGTTAGCAGGGGGTAATTTGCATTGTGATTTCACCCTCATGAATGGCTTCATACCCAGCTGATAAATAGAATCAGGATAATATCAAAATGTGTAGTGTAATATTCTAATATTGCACCGTTACACAATAGATTTGATTTCTGCTGAAATCAGGAATACGTTTATGAAAGTCTATTGAGAATACACTCAGAAAGTCTAGCCAGGGCTCAGGAGCTGTGCAACCATCCTATAACCCTGTCATCAGAAGTTCGATCCCCGGTGATGCTACAGCCATCCATGGCCGGGAGTCCAAGAGAATGCAATTGGCTTCGCTCTCTCTGGGTGGGTAGGATGGCCCTCCCTCTCCCATCACTCAGCACGGTGCTAGCCAGCACAGCTGTCTGTTAGCTGACATAACAGAACTGGTGGTTAGTGTTCTCCTCCAAGCGTGTTTAGCTGTCCAATGACGTTGCCTTAACAGTAGTTCAAAAAGGTGCAGCAGCTGCCTTCACAGGACTCGGAGGGAGCCTGGGCAAGCCTTCGCCCTCCTAGCACTGGTGGTAACATGTGATTAAGGGAAGTCCTAACTAGTGGGTGGAGTTGGATACGACTAAACTGGGGAGGAAATTGGAAAAAATCTGAATAACAGTACCCAAAGATCACTTCTCCTCATTTTAGCAGTTGGCACTGAATTCAGTGGTGATCTATGCAAATCCTAATACATGCTGGTGCTCAGCAGGCTTATAGAGTATCTTTAGTCAATATTCACTACGAGTACTCTCAGAGGTGTGACTGATGCTCTTCCACGGGCCATGAAGGTTCAGCTGCAGAGCAGTGATTTTAAAGGCTTTGGATAAAAAACAGACAAAATACATTCAAAAAAACTTTTTTTTTTTTTTTTCTTTGGAAACTGAGGGTCTAACCTTTACCACTCTTGTCCAGTAGAGGAAGACAAACACACTGATGTTCATGCTCATCATAAATATATGATGGGTATGAGGTTTTAGCAGGAAGTGGATTTTTTTTAAAGGAGGAATGCACTTACCTTTGGCAGCCAGACAAATGTATTTAGTTTCCGTAGTTGTTTGGACACCACATACAAAAACAAGATGCAAGATGTATAAATATAGTATAGTATAAATATAGTTTTTCAGTTTTAGATATTGTGTTTTTCCATGCCACATAGGTGTCAGACAGAAACAGAAAAAGCGAAAGGGAAATACAGTTTACAGTACAAGTTTAAATGACATTACATAACATGTCCTCGGAAAAATGAGAAGTGTTTGAGAATGAAACTCCGTAATGGGGGGGCGGTGGCTCTGAGCTGACTGAGTGGTTTCTGTCTGTGATACTGTAGGTGTGGGTGGTGGGAAGAGGAGGTGAAACATATTACGGTTATTGTTATTATTTTTGCTCCACACACTGGTGCACAGTGATGTCATCAAGAAGTCCTTACGTTTTGAAGGAAGATTACAGAAAAACACCATAAAGGATATGATTAATCATGTTTAATATGACGATGGGCGCAAAACAAAGGAGGTTATTTTTATTTCAGGTTTACTTCGGTGAGTGTAAATTGGAGGGGGGTGGGGTGGGTGGTGTTGTCAAAACTTTAATCTGAAGACTTAGAATTTCCTCAGAAATTTCCAGTTATTTACATTCTACTTAAGCACCAAAAAAAACTTTAGTGAGCAATTTGACTTGACCTTATTTGAATGACAATAGTCCTTCATGTTAGTCTAAAATAGTATCAAAAGCAAAGCACCATTATCAGGTTGTTTACAAAAAGAACAGATTTTATAGATAAGTATAATATGGGTTACCAAACAATGTAAACAGCAAAATTTATGCTACAGCTCATTTATTTAAAAGGCATGCAAGTTAACTGGGGGGACAAAAATCACATCCAAACCAGAGAAATAAACCTCGTCCAGACAGTTTACATAATAAACCCCCAATTTTATTTTTAGCTTAATTTCAGTTTTACAAATAAAAGAGGTGCAATAGACAAAGTTCACAGAACTCCAGGATTATTAATATTAGTAATTGTATAAGTTCACTTAAAATACAATGTGCAACATGTTAATCGAACACATTGAAGATGAAGACATTTCAAGACAAAAATACTTTCACTATCAAAGAAGCTCAACGATTCATATATTTCTCATTAGATAATAGACTGCTGTACACTCATCGGTAAGTTATGCGCAGTATGCTGCTAGATCGTCGGCCTGGCGTTGACGAGGGCGATGGGAATAGACCGCCTCTTCATCTCTCGAGACATCTGACACCAGACACAGCTGACGCAGAACGTGGCGATCAAACAGTCGTTACAGATGGAGCCCTGAGAACAAAACACAGTTGCATTCATAAACATCAGAAATGCAGGACTGTACATCATCAAAACCATCTGAGAGAGGCTGAACTTACACGAGAAAGAAAAAACACAGATGCACCAAACTTAAAATCTAGATTTTGAGCAATATTTGAGCATTTCTATTAGTCCACTTATCAAATTTTGTACAAAATGTAAAGAGCATCTGCTGAGCTCAATTTATGCAGAACACTAAAAATTGTAAAAAATAAATAAATAAATAAATAAAATAAAATAAAAAATAAATAATGATAAAAATTTGGACAGTGATTTGTAAAATGTAAAAATTGGAACTAAAGCTAACTGGATAGCATTACTAACTGGATTAGGATAAATCTATAGGGCTTCAAATGCAGTAAAATTAATACAATGCAGATATTTTAATGTGATAACCCACATCACTTAAACATCCACCTGAGATATATCAGTCAAAATAATATCTAAACATTTGACTGCATTTTTTAAAGCAAATATTGAAATTGGCAGATACAACTGCACATCCCTAACAATCAAACAACTTTTAATCCACATTTTAGAATAAAAATGAAGACAGCAAAACTGTGAAGTAGGTTATATGGAACAACAACAGTCAGAAATATTGGCCAAATACGGCTGTTCAGACTCTGCCCTCCCTCCTCATAATGCAACTGATTGGCTTACGTGCATTAATGAGGACTGACGTTGCACCAATTAACCTTTAAGGAGAATCAACTTCTAGCAGTAATCCAGATGACGTAATCGTAGCTTCAACTCTACATTTAAAAAAATGTTTAATATTAAATATTTTGTTTTGGAAACAAACTCATACATATGAATCAATTTGAATATAATGCTGCTGTCAGAACAAAACCTTGTATCTGTGGTTGGTTTAGTGTAATGGGTAACATCTCTGCCTTCTACACTATAGACGGGGGTTCAGTCCCTGCATGGGCGAGGACCCTACACTATACTAATAAGAGTCCTTGGGCAAGACTCCTAACACTACCTTCACCTACCCGTGTAAAATGATTAAACTGTAACTCGCTCTGGATAAGAGCATCTGCCAAATGCCGTAAATGTATCTCCATTTTTGTCGTTTTCAGTTTCTGAAATAATTTGAACATTCCTGTTGCTCTTTACATTGTGTGTAAATTTCATGATAAATGGACCAAAAGAAACGGCCCAGAATTACTTGGAAAAACGTCTGGTTCCATTGACTTACATTGACAGTAAAGTAGGTTTTTTGCCTCTCCTGTAAAGTTACCATTTTGGAGATACAGGGTTTTGTTCCAACAGCAGCGATAATATATATTTGACTTTTAAACATGAACTTTTAGATCAAAATGTCTAGTAGTTTGTCTGGTAGTGTATTTAATGTATAAAGCAGGTGGCATTTTCAAATGATAAAGAAAAAAAAAACTTTTTTGTTTGAGTAATTTACACTGTGAAAACATAATTGGACCAATAAAAAAAGGTCAAAAATTGCAAAAGTGCTTGAAATAAAATCTCATTACATTGTCTTGCATTAAAACATGAAAATGTGTTTGTTTTTTCTTCTTCTGAGATGTTTCCATTTTGGAGATAAGTTTTTTTTTCTGTAAACAATGTGGTTTTTGAATGAATGTCTATACAGCACTATAAAGTGTTGTGCTAGAGATTTTTGTGTACTCATTCTACATACACACGTTGTGATGTTGGGGGACTAAAACCTTCACCGTACCTTAATGCCGTAGCGGTGGCGCATAGAGACCCTCATTGCTAGTGTGGCCGGTGGGACGATACCAAATATGTCCAACAGGGGGAGACACAAACACTGTCCATACTCTTTCGTTTTGACGCAGGCGAAACACGGGCAGCAGAAATACGCAAAACAACCTGAACAGAGAGATTGAGCAGCCAGTGAGTAACACTGATACCACCTTACACTCCAGATCACTGACACAACCTCACACCTGCCGTGGAGTCACTCACACTCTGGGACGTCGTCGCAGCAGTCGCAGATCCCGGAGCCCCACTCGTCAGAATCTCTGGAGTCCAGCACCACCGGCTGAGTGATGACCACTTTAGTCGTCATGGCTGCAGCTAGAAGTGAACAAGACACCAGTATATTACAACACCGGACAGTGAGCTTCACTTCATTCTGTTGAGGGAACTGCTTTGGGCCTTTCTGAAGACCCATATGGAAGAAACTTGGGCCAGTAATTGATTTTGAGTCATGATCATTAAAATAAGTACCAATAATGTACAAATTATTCTTTCATTCTCTTCCGCCGTGTGATTCACCGAATTATGGGCTACAAACAATGTCTGCCAAATTACACACATACAGGCTTTGAACACCATCTGGAAAGATCATAATGTAGATTGTCAGTCTAGCAAAGGATGCTGTGGAATACGCAAATGAAAACTCCACTACACAAGAGCTGTGTCCCAATTCAGAGGCTGCATTTGAAGGCCGATTGCGTCACAGCGGTGCGACTAGGCGGTCCCATTTCGAAGCCTCCTTCATATGCGGCTGAGAAATGTGTACTGCTTTTCCATGGGAACGAAGAATCCAACAATTGGATCCTTCGCCAGCCAACATATCCCGAGGTTCACTGAGTGCCGACGAGGATTCGAGAACATGCCACCGTCAGCAGAGGAGCGAACGACGGCGACACTTAAATGCAAGTACTGGGTTTGAAGTGAGTCGAATAGCCACAATACGAATGTTAAAAAAGCCAATGTGGTCGGAAGCAAAACTTTTGCTAATGTTTTGTTTTATTTTAGGGAGCAAAGAGCCGACCGAGAGAAGCATCTCCAGCTCTTACAACTAAACATCCAAGTTTCTGGCTCCATCTTTAAGGAAGTTGACAGGAGCAGTGTTTTGTGACGCAGAGGTGAGGGCGGGAACAGAGGTGCTGTGACACAAACCGGACATTTGCCACAGAGCAGAGCATCTCATTTCAGCTCAGCCTTCGCGGGTCTACAAAGCCTTTGAAGGACACGCCTTTGTAGACCGCATCCTTCAAAGGATGCAGCCCCTGAACTGGGACACATTAGCTGCATTCCAAAGCCTAGGCTGCTCTGGTGATGTTCCAAGCAGCCTAGTTAGGACTGCTCCATTTGTGTGACCAATAGGCTACTAAGGAGGAGTCTTCATAGGACAGTCCTGCCGAGGAGCCGCCCTACCTCGGCTGCAGCCTCGGCTTTGGAATGCAGCTACCATCTACCCTCTGGTACAGACTAAAACAGACGAGCTTGTCCAGGATGCCAGTTTTGTTGATTTTGCTACATGTTAATCTGACAGATCATATATAGCTACAGATCACACCGGGTTTACAGGTTTAGCACTGAGCTGGATGACGTAGCCTGATATCTGCTCGCAAACTGGTAGTACTACCAGCAGTAGTGGGCGCTATGGCTAAATATTGATATTACAGCGGAATTAAAATGTGTGACGTTTCATGGTGTGCGTATCTCTCTCTCTCTCTCTCTCTCTCTCTCTCTCTCTCTCTCTCACACACACTCATACACAAATATATAGTGGGGTATAAAAGTCTGAGAGCATATTGAAAATCTGATGTTTTTCGTTTAAACCTGAAAATAAAAAAAAGTTTAGAATTTTGAAAAGATGTAAAACAAAGAAAAGTTATGAGCAATAAAATGAAGATTCTGCACTATTTTTAGATCACTATTCAAATTATGTTCAAGATTCTATGACGTTCACCATGTTAAGGCCTTTATGCAAAAAGGTAAGACACACAATGCATAAATATTTATATTCATATATATATATAAATATTTGACAATTTGAAAATGCTTGTTTGTCTTTACATAGTGTGTTTATTTCGTGGTGACTAAAAGAAACGGCCCAAAATAAGTTTTTTACAAGTCTGGTTCCATTGACTTACATTAAAAGTAAAGTATGTTTTTTCTTTCTCCTGTAAATTTACCATTTTGGAGATACAAGGTTTTGTTCCAAGAGCAGCGATTATATATATCACACACACACACACACACACACACACACACACACACACACTATACACCACACTATATATATACATATCTTGTGTTATATGTGTACCTGCACCGAGAGAAATTCCTTGAACAAATTGGCGAATAAAGATTATGATTTTGATTTAACAATCAAAGTAAATCTGAAAACATTTATTGTACAAAACAGCACAAACAAGACTAAACAATATAAAAATCCTTGTCACTGTAGCTTTCTAATACCAGACCTGCAGGCCGGCAAACATAGTGCTAAACATAGTGTCTCTTCTTAACTTCCGCAAGGCTGAACTGGCTTCTCATAAGGTTCCACCTTAAACAGCAGCAGTTCCTTACTGTCTAAACCACCAGTGATCCTGCATGTGTCTGAGTTACCGCAAAATAACGACGGTGTATTCATAACCCTTTAAACTCATCTGTGAAATCTCTCCTTTTTACCAAAAGCTTACATAAAGTTATCTTTGAGAATCCAAGCAACACAAAACACACACACTAATCAGCTGAAGGGACTGAACTCAGACCGAATCTCTGTTAGATAATAAATATCTTCTATCTCACTTACCTGAGCGACAGAAGATCAGCGCCTGATTTAGACTGACGGCTCATACAAAATCTCAGCTTTATACTGAGTGGTCAAAAAAATCCACCTCAACCTGTCTGACCAGAACACAGCCCCATCAGTCTGAGTCAGTGCGCACCTGAGCAGGGTGGAGAGCAGCGCCGCGCAGCACTGAGGCTAAAGAGGAATCATTCAACAAGAGCTTTCAGTTTAAACAACACAGATCACCGAAACTGACGTCACGAGACGAACGACAAACAAAACCACCAAACCAAATCAAAACATTCACTGTAACATCTAACAGTGTGAACACACAGCGTTTCAGCCGCCGGACACTGGACTCTTACTGTGAGCTCACTGACCAGAGGAACCATCCAAATTACAGCAATAAAGAAAGAGTGAAAGAGTAAAAGAGTGAAAAAGTAAAAGAGTGAAAGAGTAAAAGAGAGACAGAAAGACAGAAAGAAAGACAGAAAAAAGAAAGCAAAGAAAAGAAAGTAAAAAAACAGAAAAAAAAACAAAAAGAAAAGCAAAAAGAAAGAAAGAAAGAAAGAAAGAAAGAAAGAAAGAAAAAGAAAGAAAAAAACAAGCAAGAAAGAGAAAGAAAGACAGACAGAGAAAGCAAGAAAGAAAGAGAAAGAAAAAGCAAGAAAGAAAAAAAGAAAAGCAAGAGGAAAGAAAGCAAGAAAGAAAGAAAGCAAGAAAGAAAAAAAGAAAGCAAGAGAGAAAGAAGGAACACAAGAAAGAAAGAAAGCAAGAAAGAAAAAAGAAAGCAAGAGAGAAAGAAGGAACACAAGAAAGAAAGAAAGCAAGAAAGAAAAAAAGAAAGCAAGAGAGAAAGAAGGAACACAAGAAAGAAAGCAATGCAAAGAGAATGATAAAGATAAAATGATTAGACAAAGAAAAAAGAAAACATCAAAGAAACACAGAAAACAACAATTTCTAAGAAAGATGCGAGAAAAGGTAGAAGGTGGCAGAGAAAAGAAAAAAAGAAAGAAAGAAAGACAGGCAGGCAGACAGAAAGACAACAAAAAGGAGCAAAATACAAAAGAATAATATAAAAAAAAGAGAGAAAAAAGAAAGAGAAAGAAATAAAAACAAAAAAGAAAGAAAAGGAAAAAGAAATGCAAAAAGAAAGTGAGAATAGTAAACACAAAACGACAAAGAAAGACAGAGAAAAGGCAAAAAGACAGACAGACAGACAGACAGACAGACAGACAGTGGCGAAGAACTAAGAAAGAAAGAAAAACAAAGATGCAAAAGGGAGAAAGACGATCAGCTCAAAAAGAAAAAAAAAGACAAAAAGAAGATGATAAGAAAACCCATAGGAAAGAGAAAGAAAGAAAGAACAGACAGAAGGAAAGAAAGAAAGAAAGAAAAGCAATATGCTACACATGAAAGTGCTCTGGAGTTCTGTGTTGCCATGGCAGCAGAACAACAGCCTCCTCCCTGGTTCAGTTGAGCTGAACTCTGGCGTCGGCTCTGCTGCTCTGTAAGGGGAGCTGAGGCTGCAGGCTGTGGATGGAGAGGCAGAGCGACAACAGCAAATCGTCTGGAGACACAAATCATGTTCCAGGAGGGGGAAACAACAGCTCTGCTGGATTTATCGTGCGGATTTAGGCGCAGAAAAAGGCTCTGCTGGGCCGCGTCCAGGGCGCGTGTCGTAACAGAGGGCTGGGCAGGGAAATCCCTCAGACGTGATGAAGCCTGTGGCCCTTTAAGACCGAGCGGGCTTTAGAGAGAGGAGATCAGGGGGCAGATCAGCGAGCATCGCGCATTTCCAGCCACCACGGGGAGCTTGTAGCATGAAACCAGTCACGAGGCACGGAGAGGGGACGACGTTAAAGTCTGGATTGATGGTTTTTGTCAGATAAAGGACTGTGACCTCCAGCAACATCGCATGAAGACAGCTAGAGGAAGAGAACTGGTAACAGTATGGAAAATCCTGCGAGCATTTAGACGACACAAGACCAGTTTATAGCCTAATCAGCTCTATAATGTCCTGTTTCATTTAGTTCCACCACAAGGAACCTCAAGGTTTTTTTTTTTTTTAAGGGATTTGTTGTTGTTTCCATCCATCTAAGCCCTGCTGCTGCACTGCTGCATGCTGTACTGCTGCGGAAGTAAAGAAAAGGGGGAGAGGGAGCACGCGGGCTTAAAGGAGGAGGAGAGGGAGGAGGGGGAGGCTTTGAGGAAGAGCGGAAAACCGCAGAGCCAGAGGAACGCTCCCGTTACCGGAATGTACGAGACAGCCGATATGCCCGAGCTCCTGCCCCCCTGCAGTACGTTCGGCCCCACGGACAGAGACCCCCGCCTGATGCGGGCCATGCACGCGCACGCAGAGACCACCAGGGACTGCCTGAGGCTGCACGACCAGCCAGACGGTCCGCAGCGGAGGGCACCGAAGCTCGGGCAGATCGGGCGATCGAAGAGAGGTAAATTCTGCAATACAACACCTGAATGAACATCAATACTGAGAACATAAAGAAAAAAGAGAAACAGAAACAGCAAAGTGGCTAATAGGAAACTTTAAAGGGCCCATATACTGCATTTTTCATGGGGTCCACTCATGACGCTTGTGTGGGTTTTACGCACCAGAAACAGTCATGATTCTTTCCTACATGACCATTTTCCACCCTCTCCATTTATACCTCATTATTAAACAAGCTGTTACTGCGCCTTTAAGACTGATATGTAAATGAGCCGAGTTCTCAGTGGCTTCCTAAACGGACACACTAGATACTGAAAAATATGATATTTAGTTGTGTAATCGTCTGTTAAATGTATGTTTTTTTGCTTTTTCCCCCGATGCTGAAAAATGAATAGCTTGTGCTTCATAGCTGTGTCGACTGGAAGTAAATTAATAAAGGGTGGTTTCAGACTTTTGCACAGTACTGTAATATACCAAGGTCTTTTATTTAAAAAAAGATGTGATATGGGCCCTTTAAAAAAAATAAATAATACAAAATGTAAAATCAGGTAAATTTGTGATATGGGCCCTTTAAAAAAAATAAACAATAAATAAAAAAAAACAAACAAAAAAACATGGGTAAATTTGTGATATAAATAAATTACAAAAAAACCATGGGTAAATTTGTGATATGGGCCCTACACGCTTAAAAAGATGGTTGTTTAAGCATTCTTTAGTAATACGGTCCCGATAAAAAAAAAAAAAAATTGTGTGTGTGTGTATATATATATATATATATATATATATATATATATATATATATATATATATATATATATATATATATATATATATATACACTTAAATAAAAGAAATATATATTGAGAAATGTGTGATATGGGCCCTTTAAATAAATTCTAAAAATCTACGCACTTAAAAAGATGGTTCTTTAAGGGTTCTGTAGTAACATGGTCCCTATTAATAAAAAATAAATAAAAATACAGTAAATTTGTGATATAGGCCCTTTAAATGAAAATACACTGTGGTAAAAGCAGAGAAAATGGAAAAACCTTTGATTTACAGTTATCTGCACTGTAAAGCACTACTTTTCCATTTTTGATAATCCTTTTTAATCTATCCAAGAGATTTAAATGCTTTTGGTCAAATTATGTCACTTAACAGTGATAAACTTAAAAAAACATTTATATCTAACCAATAATTTTCCATATTAAAAAAAAGTACAATAATGAACATGTACAGCTGCAGCTCCTCTATTGCTGTTCCATTAAAGGGCAATTTTCAAAATATCTGCATAACTCAGTGTGTGAGATGGAAACAGAGAGATTCAGAGTGGTTTGGTGTGAAATGGTTCTGATGTCTTTACAGTGGTGGTGATAGGAACCAGGGGTCGCCATGACTACAACACAAATATAGACATTTTATTTACTATCCAGAACCACCAGTGAACCTACACGAGTCTTCTGAGTTTATATGGAATGTTGATGATGGAAAATAGTGGAAATCTGAAATAATAAGCTTTCTGTGGGGACTATTTTGCCTCACAGTGCCCTGCATATCATGTATCCCTCCACCATGAATGGATTTTAAGGCCAAAATCTTCTCAAAACTATCATAAAACAGAGTCTCAGTCATCAGGCAGTGAATTCATAACCATCTCATGTAGTAACTTTCTGTGAGGGAGCTTTTAGAGGTGGACGTCTGGTTCCTATCACCACCACCGTGAACAATCCTGAATCAAACTGCTCATCCGTAACATGGAAAACCTAATTTATCTCGCTTTTCAGTGAGATTAGAAATCTGAATCTGATGTAGTACGTAAAACATTGCTGAAGTTTCATGTCATTCACTCCCCAGTCCATATAAGTATACATAAGTCTGTATACGAAAACTAAGCTGCAAAGCCCGTTTTGAATTCACCCTTTGTGATGTCAGAAGAACTCATTTACATACATCCACCTATTTAGCCTACAGTAACTTAATCCCGTTCACTCAAGCAAGTTATAAACGGTGTTTTAGCCCAGTTTCTCTCTATATTTTTTGTTAAATAAGGCGCAACACAGGGTATCCAATCAGAGAAGAGTTCATTTACATATCAGTCTTAAAAGGTACAGAATACAAAAATAGCCTGTCTAATTCTAAGGGATAAAGAGAGACTGGAAAATGGTCATAAAAACAGGAATTGCAAGTGCTTTTGGTACATAAAGCCATGCAAACGTTATGAAATAAAATACACGAAAAATGTAGAATACAGGACCTTTAATGATTTAAGCAGGAGGAAATTTTAAAAGTTGGGCGGAATTTCCCTTTAACCTACGCTGAAGGCAAACAGCAGGGGGCGACAAACAAGCGATAGAGCAATCACAGCCACACACTGTTTAAAAAAGTCATCAGATTCCCATTAAGCAGTGATCCAGTCTGGAGATCTACTGACGTTCCTGCAGGTTCTGCCTCCAACCCAGAACTCATTAAGGTCCATTTCAGCTCCGTCCGGATCGGTGTGGTGGATCGGAGTTGGAGCTGAAACAGCCAGAGCTTCGTGTTTCATGAGGCTGAAGTTGGCTTCTTATTTGAATTTTCCGTTCCACCTTAAGAGTGCACGAGTTACACTCCAGCGCTTTTAATGCACCGGAATGTGGCTACTGCCGACATTTAAGGTGGAATGGAATATTCGAATCAGAGGCCAACTTCAGTGCCTTAAAAGCACCAAAAAGTGACAATGACACTATTTAAGGTGGAACGGAAAAGTAGTTACATCCTGGTGACTTGGAATCGCCAGAACGTAACTGGTACATTATTTAAGGTGGAACGGAAAATTGGCATAAGAAGCCAACTCCAGCGCCTTTCAGCGCCAGAATGTGAAAACTACACTATTTAAGGTAGAACGAAAAGTAGTTGCATACTGGTGCCTTTAAGATGCCAGAATAAGGCTAGTGCATCATTTAAGGTGGAACGGATCTTCGAATAAGAAGTTCTGTGCCGTAAAAGCGCCAGAATATGACTACTGTACTATTTAAGGTGGAACGAACAGCAGTCACATTCTGGTGACTTGGAGGCGCCAGAATACAACTGGTGCACGATTTAAGGTGGAACGGAAAATTCGAAAAATATACCAATTTCAGTGCCTTAGAGGCGCCAGGACATGACTACTGCACTACTTAAGGTGGAAGGAACAGTAGTTACATACTCGTGATTTTAAGGTGCCAGAATGTGGCTACTGTAGTATTTAAGGTGGAGCGGAAAATTCGAACAAGATGCCAACTTGGATCGAAAAAAGGCGCCAGAAAGTGACTATTGCACTGTTTAAGGTGGAACGGAATGCAGTAGCATTCTGGTGGCTTTAAGATGCCAGAACGTGCAGAGTGCATTATTTAAGGTGGATCGCAACGTTTGAAAAAGAAGCCAACATCAGTGCCTTAAAGGCGCCAGAATGTGGCTACTGCACTATTTAAGGTGGAACGAAAAACTCGAACAAGAAGCCAATTTTAGCGCTTTAAAGCTGCTGAAGTTGGCTTCTTAAGGTGGAACGGAAAATTAGAATATGCCAACCTCAGCCTCGTGAAACCTCTGCAGGTCAGTAGATGTCCAGGAGCAGGACTGATGACCACAGTTTACTTTCAGCCTTTCTGCTTCCTCTTGTTCTTCTAGTCGTGATAGAGGACGAGGACCTGGACGACGTGCTGAACAACAACGGAGAGCTGCCGGTCCCCCTGAGCCACGGTCCAGCCTGAGGAGCGACACTACCTGCATCCAATTTCCCCTCTCTGCGCATGCGTAATCACCTGTAGTGCGTCACTCCATGCGCATGCGTCTCACCTGTAGTTTAGTGGCAGTTTCCCGCGCTGCTGTGGTGGAGGTGAGCTCAGGTGGGGCTTGATAAGGAAGGAGCTGGTTTGAAACAAAAGGCGTGATGTTTTTTTTTGCGCACATATGTACGAAAAAAAATAACAACTGACCAAAGTAAGAGCTCAGCGAATGACATGAATGGGGCTTCAAGCATAAGCTACGTTTTTAGGTAAAAACTGAACTTATTGGTACGTTTTGTTTGTTTATATTATTATTATGTCCTCCTACATGTATACAATATAGAATATTATTATACAGATTGTTATTATTTTGTCTTTCAGAAAAGAAAACGTTGACCGATTGCACTTTTCACCAGAAGTTTGCATTATTCAGATTTTATGCCTTATTATTATTCCCTTGTATGAGTGAAAGAGACCATTGATGCCACTGTAAAAGCTTTTGCATGTCTGTGTTTTTGTCTGTGACGCTTTATGTTTGCTTTCTTGAATTTTCTGACTAAACATGTGACCTAAACTTTGGAAAAAAATACATTTTCAGCTTAAACCAGTGATATTTGCAGGCATATGGACCACTAAGCTGCTTCGTTATGTCAAATAGGAAAAGTGAAACGAGGTTAAATAGGTCAAAAGCACACGAGCTGACTTTACTTGTGATTTTTTTTCCTACGCTCCATTCAGTTTTAGTGAATAGACTGAGTGCTATTACTCGCATTGACCACACGGTGGCGACAAATCCAAAGAAATGAAGCCATGTGTGGCTGTTGCTGCATGTGCTGCTGTTTTAGTCCTAATTTACAGCTTGCAGTGCTGCTGATTACGTGTTAATAACTTGTTGAACTCTTCATTTGCTCTTTTTCCATCTTCAACGTATTAAACAGCTGATATCCTACATTTTCTCTTGTATTTTGTTATTCCCAGCTCTCCACATGTCATGTTTGTGTGGTTGTTTTAGTTTTAATTCATTTTTACACAATCATTTTCCAACCTGCCTTTATTTTTATAATTATAGTCTGTTTTATAATGTTGTGTCTTTAAAAAAGTGAGGAAAATCCAGTTCCACCTTAAACTTAACCAGTTGCACTCCGGTGCCTCTAATGCACCGATACGTGGCTACTGTACTATTTAGGGTGGAATGGAAAAGTAGTCATATTCTGGTGACTTGGAGGCACCAGAATGTAACTGGTGCTCTACTTAAGGTGGAACAGAACATTTGAATAAAATGCTGACTTCAGTGCCTCAAAGGCGCCAAAAAAGTGGCTACTGCACTATTTAAGGTGGAATGAAAAGTAGTTACATTCTGTTGACTTTTAGGTGCCAGAATGTGGCTGGTGCACTATTTAAGGTGGAACTGAAAAATTTGAATAAGAAGCCAACTTCAGTGCCTTCAAGGTGCCAGAATGTGGCTGGTGCACTATTTAAGGTGGAACTGAAATATTTGAATAAGAAGCCAACTTCAGTGCCTTCAAGATGCCAAAAAGTCACTCTTGTACTATTTAAGGTGGAACAGAACATTCGGACAAGAAGCCAAAAATCAGTGCCTTAGAGGCGCCAGAATGTGAAAACTACACTATTTAAGGTGGAATGAAAAGCAGTTACTTTCTGTTGACTTTAAGGTGCCAGAATGTGGCTACTGCACTACTTATGGTGGAATGGAAAATAAGATTAAGAAGCCAAATTAAGTGCTTTAGATGGCGTCTTAAGGTGGCTTTAAGGTGGAACAGAAAATTAGAACTACAAGCCAACCCCAGCCTCGTGAAACCTCTGCAGGTCAGTAGACTTCAAGGAGCTTTCCGTTTTCCAGCCTGCCTTTATCCCTTATAATTATAAGCTGTTTTTGATACTGTGCCTTTAAAAGAAGTGAGGAAAATGTGGTTTTCCCTGATACTGGACCGTCCGCATCCTACTGAATGGGGTAAAAGAAAAAAGACTCAACAACTCATTCATTTTCATGTTTATTTACATAAAATTAATTTGCGTAACATATTTAAAAAGAGGCTTTGTGTAAGACATGGCAGGGATAGAATGACAAACTGTGAGAAATATCTACAAATATTTGTCGTGAAGAAAGGAAACAGAAGAGGTTTTATAACAGCTCGATGATGAAGCGCTATCAGAGTTCAAAAATACATAAAAAAAAAAAAAGTCGTCCGCCAGGTTTGCACAGCAGAACAGGTAAAGAAAAGGGCACAGTTTACAAAAAAGATGAGTCACTATTCAGAGGCTAAAGCAGGCCCAGGAGGGCACGGCCTTAGACGGCAAATAAGCAGGTCTTTGTTCTAGAAGGTGGGGAAACTACAAACTTCACAAACTTCATCATTTATAAGAAGGAAAAGCTGAAAGCTGTGAGCTGCTTCTCGCACAGCAGGCTTCAAAAACTCAGCAAAAAATGAGGTCTTTGCATCTTGAATGAAGGCAATATAGCTAAATTTCTGTTTACAAGACTATTATAAGACTATTATAAGAAATTATAACCAATTTCTGGATGTTTTTACTTATTTTACATCAAATCAGGCACAATAATCCTAAAAAGTTGGCCAAGGTATCTACGAGTGTGATAAATAAAATGTCTAGAAATTGGTTATAATTATGATAAGAGTCTTATATTGGTGTCCTTATACCTGATATTAGATATATTGCAGACACGTTAGATGTTTACACTTGTCACAATGTCATTTTTGATCTTTTTATAAGCTGCAGTATATTTTTAGTTGCCCTCTTTTGCTTTCAGTCTTAGCGTTTGGCCTCTCAAGGTATTCAGAGGGGAAATGCAGGGAAGGAGAGACTTTACTCTGGCTTTAACTATGACGAAATGAGCTAGAACACACAAACGGTTTTCCCTGAGTGTCACAGGCTCTTCTGTTCTACTACACTTCAGAGAGAAAATGGTCAATCAGTGTCAAACCATGAGGCTCTTACTTTGGCCTCTCCTGCTATGTTAGTTATGAAGGGCTTTTGGTAAATGAAAACTAAAAAAATAGGGTAAAAGGCACCTTAAAAATGGAAGTAATGATTATAGTTTAAAAAAAAACTCAGGGACATGGCTCAATTTCTTGGTAGACGTTGACCCCGACCGCTGATCTGAGACCACAGTCAGTGTAAAAACCATATATAAATCTAGTCTCAGATCAGCAGTACAGAAAAAACGTTCCACCATCACCACCCTGCAGTTCGTGATCTCCTTAAAGCTGGCCAGCAGGTGGCGTTCACACGTACTCCCTGGAGCTGCTGGGCGGCCGGGACTTGGTCGCGGGGTATTTGGAGCTGGATTGGCTCTTCGAGCAGGACGCTGCCAGCATGGCTCCGCCCATTACCACCAGGAAGGTGCCGGCCCAGGCGATGAAAATGGCCGATCCGAACTCGTACCTGCAGAGAAAGAGGAACGGGAGGAAAGAGTGAGGCCTTGGCACTCGCCCAGCTGCAGCTTAGGGAAGGTCAACCATCCAAACCATTCAAAACATCCAGGCTGACCAAATCAGGAATGTAGATGAAGATTAAAGAGGTGGAGCTTTTTCAGCAGGTCAAACAGTTAATCTTACAAATGGGGGAAATACTTCATACTGACGCCACTTTCAGGACAAATAAACATCAATCATGCAAGTATTTTATACAGTGAGGAACAGACTGTGGTGCTCATAACAAAACCATTGGTAACACTTTATTTGTATAGTCCACTAAAGATGCTTTGTAGATTCAATATTCCTGGCTCTAATCCTAACCCTAACCTTAACCTCAACCCAAAAACTAAACCCAACCCTCACCCTGGTCCAAATCCTAACTCTAACCCCACCACTGTTTAGAATCAGTTTCAACAGATAGTTTGTTAACAATTTGAACATCTGTAGGTAATCTATAGGGTATTAAAGTGGACTATCCAAATAAAGTGAGACCAAACCTTTTTATCTCTGAAATGGAGTTTTTACAAAAGAAATTAGAAAATCCATCTTAACTGTCATATATCGCTGCTGTTGGATCAAAACCTCATATCTCCAAAATGGTAACTTTACAGGAGAATGAAAAAACCTACTTTACTTTTAACGTAAGTCAATGGAACCAGAATTTTTTCCGAGGTATTTTGAAACTCTCAAAAACTGAAAAATGTCAAAAATGGAGATACAAGGTTTTCTTCCGACAGCAGTGATATACTGACCTAACAAGATGTTTTACATTTTCAGTTCAAGAGATTTAGGTCTGTTTTTGTGGGTCTGTCGACAACAACAACAACAACAACAACAACCTAACTTCTACAGAAAACCTCTAACTTCTATGACTGAACTTTGGAGGTGTGTCTACAGATTTCTTGGAGAAACTGAAAGTGAGTCTCCTGAAAAGAATGCAAGTTGGAATAAAGGGAAAGGGTGACTCACTGAACACTGAGAAGTTTGTGTAATTTTCTGTTTTCTGCTTTTGTATTTTAATAAGGCTGACTAACGAATAACTTGTACTTAATGGCCGTTTTGACAGGAAATTAAATGAATTAAGGGTGGTCTGATTTCTATACAGCACTGTACAGCAATAAACACATACATAATTAAATGAAAGATTGATTAGATAAATCAGGTACTGGATGGTAACTAAAAACTACACTTCCATGTGCAGAGATTTGGAAATGGTTATGCTAACACTAGCCACTTTTACATGTAGCCTAATCCGTTAATAATCCGACTAATAGCTCAATCATAATAGAATACGTCCATGTAAACACCTCAATCGGAATAGTCTAGTCTGATTGAGGGCATTTGGAATACAGCTTCTATCCGACTGATCGAGGTGGGTAATCCTTCTTTAATAAGGACATGTGAAGGAAGTTTTCCTGAGTCTGACATCATTTTAAAGCAATTAAAAACACAAGCGCTGCTCACTGCTGCTCATCTCACTCTGACTGGACTCACGTGGTGCTGGTTGTTATGGTAACGTCTACGCTAAGCGGTTCTCTACACACGTGTGGATTACTTGTAGTGAGCATGTAAATGGAGATTTTCATCAGGTTGTTGAATAGTGAGCATATAAACACCTCAGTCTGAATCTGTAATTGAATTTCAAATAACTGCTTATCGCCAAGTGATTGTGCTGTGAACTGTAGTTCTGGCAGTCGCACATACTTTGTATTCACAGGAGTGAAGGGGTTGTAGAAGTCCTGAATGATCTGGGAGGAGAACCATCCGCAGGCGACCATGGCACAGAGAGCTACGGAAGACAAACAAAAAGCCTGGTCAGTACACTAATATATACCACAATGTACTAATTACTGTAATTAGTGGACCACTGTTATATATATCCTAACTAAATTAGAACTGTAGCAGAGAGCATTGAAGGAAACTTGCCTCCAACAAGGAGAATGATTCCTCCAGTCATGGCGATGCGGGACCTTTTCACTTTATCATCACCTCCGCAGTTTGTGCACTTCATTCCCATGGAGGCCACGCCCAGTCCCATCACGGTCAGGATGATGGACACAACCATCAGCGCCCGTGTGGCCTGGAGAGCACCTGCACAGAGACGGAGAAAGAAGAAGTACGTTAATGTTATGATCTCTGATTTCAGACCAGTGAGGTGGTGACCATCACTTTAAAAGCTGGACGAAGTGATGGGACAGGTGTTAAATCTTTCTTTGCATTCATATGCAACTCTAAATGAAAGAAGCAGCTCTGATCAGAGATGCAACTCTGCTCAAATAATTCCAGGTATCCACTTGGAAACTACTAGGATTTGCACATACCCAATTAACCATATGGAAGAGATTGAAGTATTTCATTGATACTACTATTGTGAAATACTGAGTAAGAAAGGCATCGTATTAACATCCTGAACAGCCCTGGAAATAAAACTCTTCCTCTCTTCTTATCAAACCGCTCCTATAAAATTTGACTGGTTAACTTTATAACTGCGTAATTTAGTTGTAGGCATGTAAACAAAGTCATTTAAAGCGATTTAATGTCAAATTATGCACTTTAATAAAGAGGCACATAACCAAAACTTATCTAGCGATATTATTTACTCTTCAAAACCACTTGTCTGGGGTTTTATATGTAATGTTGATAGTGGTAATACTAAAAAAGTACATTTTCTTTGGGGACTGTTTTGCCTCACAACACCCATATACCTCTTCACCATGAATGTACTTTAAAGAGTACATTTGAGGCCAAAAACATGGTCATAAAACAGTGTCTCAGATATCAGGCAGTGAATTCATAACCATTTCATGTTTACATCTTAATCATTTAATTACGCAGACAATTTGGAAAAGAAACCAGAGGAATTCTGGTTTGAGATGTTTCACAAACATGATAACTTGCTAAGCTAGTTGCTTGAGGCAAAAAAAACCCATTTAGAAACATGATTTCTACCTGCCAATCAAAGTTCAGTAGAGAAAAAGGAAAAATCTAAATAAACATTCAGGACTATGTTTAAAATGAAATTACACCATGTATGTAACATTAGTGGGTGGTATTTATGTAGCTAGCTAAGCATTTTAACTGCCATGTCCTTGTAAGGCTAGTCTGGCTAACAGCTAGTCACAGTAAACTCAGTACTTCACATTAGCCTACAGCACTGACTCTGATGGATCTCTGTGCTATTAGTATTTACAATCAGTAATCCTTTCATATTGACTCAAGGTGGGGGACGAAACTTGTTCTGAACTGCATCTAAAAGGACTAAATGTGCATTTATGATAATGTAAATGAAGTCAGTTTAGCTGCTCTTTCACATTACATGCAAAACCATAGAAGCCAGTGAATGTCCTTCCAGTGTAGTTTACAGAACAAGCATAGCTGCGTTTCAGTCCATAAAGTAATAGTTTGGCAAAATATTAAATAAACACACTTAGCTTAGTGAAGTTGGTTTGGTGTGCTAATGTGGCTAACAAAGGGAGCTAATTCCCCACCAGATCATCCCATACTCCATACTGGAGCTGTTCAGTAATCCCAGACTTGATTATATGGTTTCTGACACTGTATGTCACACTATTATCTATAAAAATGGACTAAATTATGGGCAAAATTCAGGTTTCAAGGTGGCTGCTGCCACTATTTTTGGCTATGTGAGGTACTTTTGTTAGTTTGATGAAAAACAATCACTTCAGTAACAGTTTGTGGGACTGAAATGAGAGAAGTACTGGAAAAGGAGAAGGTCTGGAAAGCCCCAGTTTACTATATAACTGGTCTGACTAAATTCAGACTTGGTTAAGCTGCCATTGTATGGATTCCTGTTTGTTTGCCGTAGAGGAACCACTTTACTTCCAATGGGAAAGATGCACTGCTGGTGACGCATCTAGTCACTAGGCAGCAATTCAACACGATAACGGAGATGGTTATGTTCTATATAACATCTACACTGTTCGAAAAAAAGGTTCTGTGCAGGTACATTTTTTGTTCATCAAGGTACAAACAGTGTAAATGTTCCCTCAAAGGTCCAACAGTGGTTTTAAGGTCTGATTGTGAACCTTAAATAAGTTTTTCCAGGTGAAAAGTTCGTATTTGTACCTTTTCATAACCGAATGTTGTAAAACAGAACAGTAAAATAAAAGCCTGGAGACGAGACGGGGTGTGTGGAGTCAGTACAGCTTAGAACATATCATTTCAGTGGATTATGGTTCAGTTATGTTCCCTGACTAAAGGTACTGAGATGGAGCCTTGAGGAACCACCCCAGTGACAAGAGGGGAACTGCCCCACTGACAGTTTAGTACCTCTTTTCTGAGAGTATATCTACCTTTGACTCATAGCTATACGCCCACAGAATTTACAGGGCTGAGGTGGCAACTCTACCAGTGAGAGTCCTTGGGCAAGACTCCTAACAATCACCTATAAGTCACTATGAATGAGAACGTCAGCCAAATGCTGTAATTATAAATGTAAATTCTCTAACATCTCGTCTGTTTTAAGTCTAACTCCGTTTTCTTGCCCACTTTGGTGCAAAATGCCCCTCCCCCCCTTTCTCCTGCACAGGTGCGACACAAACTGGTTCTAGCTGGAAACTCCTTTGAGAGTGTATGCGCGCGAGAGTGTGTATGTGTGTGTCACTGTTTTGTCTTTGCGTGTGTGCGTGTTAGCAGAGAACAGGTCTAACCAGTCATGGGGGAGAGAGAGGAAGAGAGAGTCAGGTTTCATTATACAGAACCACCCCCCCCCTCCCTTTCTCTCTCTCTCTCTCTCTGTTTAGATGTCTAGGGGCTCGGCCTTTTCTCAGCAATCTGACTGGATAGTTTCAGTATTGAAGCCATTCCAACCAGGCCGGCAAACAAGGAACCAGACAATCGTATGTTTTGATTGTCTCTTACCATCAAAACATACCATAGAAAAGCCATCTGTGTATATATGGATGAAAAGAGAAAAAACGACTTTTGATTTGAAAGGAAAGTTGAAGGACTTTTATGCTATAGACGTCAGGAACACCCTTAAAAATTTAGGTTCAATTCTATGGTTGTAGGAAAAGACCTTTATGTGGATAATGTTTTGTGATAATGTTTTTCCACATTTTCTTCACACTCAACCATCTCATTTACAGAAATGGTTCTTTTAAGACTCCTCCGCTGAAAGGTGGTTCCTCTATGGGATCACTCCAAAGAACCCTACTAGCCAATTTTTGTTTAAGAATTAAGATGTAAACAGAGTCATTCAGAGTGGTTTGGTGTGAAACGCTCTGTTCTAGACAAGCTTACAGTCAGAACTGTTCACAGTGGTGGTGACAGGAACCAGACGTCCACCTCTAAAAGCTCCCTCACAGGAAGTTATTACAGGAAATGGTTATGAATTCACTGCCTGATGACTGAGACACCGTTTTATGATAGTTTTGAGAAGATTTTGGCCTTAAACTCCATTCATGGTGGAGGGATACATAATATGCAGGGTGCTGTGAGGCAAAATAGTCCCCAAAGAAAACTTATTATTCCAGATTTTCCACTATTTTCCATCATCAACATTCCATATAAACTCAGAAGACTCGTGTAGGTTCACTGGTGGTTTTGGATAGTAAATAAAATGTCTATATTTGTGTTGTAGTCATGGCGACCCCTGGTTCCTATCACCACCACTGTAAAAACATCTGAACCAATTCACACCAAACCACTGAATTGTAGCTGCAGCAGTTGCGCTGAGGGATCATTCACAAAGCTAGTTCTCATTCACAACACTGGCGTAATGACAGTTTATCGAAATTGGCTTGTATTCTTGTTTGTAGTCGTCATAAAGTGGTGTACAGAAGATAAGACCTTATCAAAGGCTCTGATAGCCAAGCAAAACAAATAAATCCCATTAAAGCCACCGAGCTGGCAGCCATAAACAGTTAAGTTTACACAGAGGCGCGTGGTCACTTAACGAAGGGCTTACACTGGATCTGTGGGACAGTGAGGACGACCCCCTTAAAAATGTGTCTGAAAAGGAGCGAAGAACCATATTTAGTTCCTTTCAATCGATGGAACCATCTTTGTGATTAGGATATGTGAGTGTCAAGAACGTTTTAGGTTTAAAGGACCTCCACAACTAAAGCTTCTAGGAAGAACCCCTAAAATTGCAGAGTCATTTTAGATTTTGTGAAGGTTCTTAAACCTTTAAAAAGGTTCTTCTTTGGTTCTTTAGGGAACCAAAATGGTTCTTCTGTGGCATTGCTAAAAGAGCCTTTTGTGGCACCTGTTGTTCTTTGTAGTGATAACACAGTGATAACACATTTTTTTATAAATTAGACAGGTGACCTTTTTAAAAGTGTAAAGGAACCTTTACATAAAGTAACAGTTCTAGAAAGAACCATTACTTTATACTTTAAGAACACTGTGTGAAGGTTTACTGTATTCTTAAAAGGTTCTTCACCCTCACATGTCCCTTTTCAAACAAGGCTCTTTAGGTTCTTCCATGGCATTACTCACTTTAGGACTACAGAACTGTATATCAAAGCCAAGAGCCACTTATTACCCTTTATTTATAGGCGTGTAGGTTGAGAAATCAGTAGTTAATTATGACTGGAGTGTTATTAGTTTCTATTTTAAAAGCTGCTGTGTTCTGTCGATGTGAAGGTGATAAATAATCGCTCCTGCGGTTCCGTGTTCTTGCCTGTTTGAGAAGCTCACCATTATGTGGACGCTGGTTTACATTTGCATAGGTTAGCTTTGGAACAAACAAGCAAATGTGATGTGTTCGCCCCTCCCCCTCCCCCACCCTGAAACCGGGACGCTGAGGACTTTCCACCAGCAGAGCAGGAGGAGGAGGCCGGAGCTGAACCGGCGTGGCTGTGTAATCATTACTGCAACAATGAATAACCCAGCCGTAAAGGTTCCACTCTTTCAGCACACTTTCCTACAGCTTTACACAGAAGTGTTGCTGAGCGGTGCTCAGATTTTATTATCTGAGCTCAATTAAACTAAATAAACTCTTTAATTAGTACTGGAATAGAAACAGTCACTCCCTATTATTAAAGTATTCAGTGAAATATTTGTATTTTAACATATCATTACTGTCTAAAGAACAACAAGCATCTCCAAAATGGCAACTTTACAGGAGAACGCAAAACGTTCGTAACTTTTAAAGTAAGTTAATGTAAAGAGATTTTACTTTACGCAGTTTTGGAGCATTTCTGTTGGTCCAGCCATCATGAAATATTCACACAACGTAAAGGGCAGCTGATTTTCTCAAATGACGTCAAAAAATGAAAGATTTATATAAACATAATTATATAAATAAATAACTGAAATCCACTGAAACTCCAGTAACAGACACTTAAAAATAAAGGGCTCTTTCTTTACCTGTTAAAGTTTTTTTGTAAAATTGTACATCTGAGCAAAGAACCATTTGGAAGCCTTTATTTTATAGTGTCTATATACAATTTTTAATTATATGCTTAATAATAAAAAGTGCCAGAAAGAGTTCTTTAGAGCAAAGCTACAGAAAAACTACTTTTTGTTCCTTAAAGAATCTTTTAGCCCACGGGTAAAGAACCATTTCTGTAGATAAGACTGTGAAAAAAACGTTTTTTAAAAACCTAAGAAACATTTATGAGTCTATATTTTATTCCCTCTATACCCTTTGTTAGTATACGCTTAAATAGAAAAGGTGCCAGAAAGGGTTCTTTAGAGCAAAGCCATTTGATTTCTGCAAGATTTCTGAGATTGTGAAGAACACTGTTAAAGTTTCAAGAACTTTCTTAACCAATTAAAGCTTATTCTAGAACCATATACCCAAGCTAAGAACCATTTAGGAGCCTTTATTTCATAGAGCAAAGCAATAGAAGAACCATTTCTGTTTCTGCTAGTGAAATTGTGAAGAATGTTCTTAACCAATTAAATCTTTTCTTCTATAAATGCACATCCAAGCCAGGAATTATTAGGATTATTTGATTCTACATGCTTTATACACAGTTTTTCAGTGTTTTAAGTATTTTTATTCTTAAAAATAAACAGGATTCAAAAAGGATTTTGGAGCAGTGCCACTGAAGAACCATTTGTGGTTCTTTAAATGAAACTTTCAATGAATGGCTCTTTAAATGGACCGTATATGTAAAAAAGATTGGGATAAAACTTTTTAAAAAGTTTAAATAAAATTTGTTTACCAATTAAAGTTTTCCTAGAACCATCTATCTAAGCCAAAGAACCTTTATTTTTTAAGAGTTTCACAAACAAAAACCCAGATTGTGATGGATATGAACACTGAGGAATCTAAGCTAACCAGGAAAAAGTGGACAACAACATGTTTTGGTTGATTTTCTAGGCGACAATAAGTTAAAACACCCTCTACAGTGAACACACTTTAACACACAATCACTGTGCCATATTTAACACGCTGGAGGGGAAAAATATAAAAGATGTGGCCTGTGCAAAAGTTATGGCACCCTTTTCTAACATATAATGAGATACACCTTTTTATTTATTTACTTAATAAAAGGTGGTATTGACCATTAGTTGGTTATTTAGACCACCATTATTTATTTAGACCACCTCTAGGACTATAATAGGCTTAATGGCCCATTCGCTCCACTTCTTTGAGTAAATGTCCCGTTTGAGCCCCGAGGCAGAAGTGCGGTTAGAATGTCACCACGCCCTTTCAGAGCAGCTCAGAAGAAAAGAAAGAAACACCAATCACTTGTTTGGGTCAACAAACAGACAAACAAAAGGTATTTGGAGGTGGCTTTACTTAAAATATCGCTGCTGTCCAAAGAAAACTACTTCTGTTTTTTTTTAGTTTTCTGTATCATTTCAACACCCAGCTGCCCTTTACATTGGGTGAAAATTTGGAGATACTTGTTTTTCTTTGGACAGTGATAATATATAGAAATAAAACCTTAAACTATGAACCAGCATTCAAAACATGCCAGTTTCAGCTCCAAGGCTGGATACAGGTGCACCCTGAGCGCCACACCCTAAAGCCGCTGCCTTATATGGAACGGCTCATGTTACACATTCAAAATGCTGATGATAAAACTCAGTCTAACGGGTTCTTGCTCCCTCTTTTAGCTACCTGAATGTAAGGCATTCCTCTAAAATGAGCGATGCTAGTCTTTTTCGTTCTCCCACATTAGCAGCTTGCTTTCTTTGTGGTACATGATACTCCCACAACATCTGGAGGTGTAAAACACCAAAATCAGGTGATTCTTCTAGGCCGCCTGGGCCAACACCTTCTGAAACTCCTCTGAGAAAAGCTTCACGGTGTATTCTGCACTAGAAATGAGTTGCGTCCTTGGCTTGGCCCAGCATTGGGCACCAAAATGGCCCGTCATTATCACTGCCGTGTGAAGAGGCGATTTGACTGCCCATGCAAAACCACAGAGCAGGAGCGCGCGCTCGTTTCCTGGTCCATCTCCAAACAACCAACCGGTTCGACCAGCTCAAGCACACCTGAATGTGCTGAACGTTAAGAGCACAATGATAATGGAAATATTGGGAAAGCTTACAGGCCTACAGTTCATACAGTTATTCCACATTACAGTCACTTTATCTTGGATTAATATCTGTTTTGCTTTTATTTATTGTCTGTAGTCTTTAATGTCTGCATTTGTCCTTATTTATACTTATTGACTGCACTAATAAACAACAATACGTCAACATAACTAGTCCCAAATTAAAGAAAATGATGATATTTCCTACATGTGGGACCTCTGAGTCAAATACATTCAAAGAACCAATATATACAATATATTAAATCAACATAATTATGGTCTTGAAGTTTATATAATTTGCCAATAACTCTGTTGATGTAATATATGATATTCCAAAGCAAGCAGTGTACACTTAAAGTTGGCTTCTCTTTCTAATTCCCCGTTCCACCTTAAATGGCGCCAGAATGTCACTGCTGCACCGTTTAAGGTGGAATGGAAAATTCGTTTTTCCAGTGTAGTAGGTCATGTTACTCACTGTCCAGCTGCAGCATGGAGTCGTAGATCTTGCACTGCATCTGGCCCGTACTCTGGAAGGCGCAGGACATCCATAGCCCCTGGTATATCGCCACGGCCGTGATGATGTTGTCCCCCACGTAGGCGGACATCTTCCACTGGGGCATGATTGTGCCGGCCAGGAGCCCAATCAGACCCACCAGGGCGAGGACGTAGCCCAAAAGCTGCAGCCCTTTATTAGCCATTTTACACCTGGAAAGTCCTGTTCTTCTAAAATTCTTCTTACAAGCTGGAGATGTTCAAAAAGAACCAGCAGAACCTTCTGAGCTTGAAGAGCTTTGGCTGATGAATCTCAGAAAAGCTTAAAAAGTTTTTAAAAAAACTTCAAATTAGTCCACGTTTTCACAGCTATGTTCAAAATAAGGTCACCCAGCTAACGTCCAGCCGAAGTGGTCTTCAAAAAACCGGGAGAAAAGCGGATAATTCCTTTGTGCAGGTGTCGACGAGGTGAGGGAAGCACCTGTTGCTCCGAGCTGCCACTTAAATATGGAGGGACTTGGTTGGCTGTTTGGAGACGAGCGTTTAAAAAGGGGCGTTTATTTTTTTCACACCTGTTTTCCGGCAAGACACTCCCATCCGCGCTCTGATTGGCTAGATTGGGTGCATTTTCTGATATTCCGTGCGTTTATTGTTTCATTGGCTTGGGCCACCAAACATACATTCCTACCAAAGATGGTTCTCCAGGGGTTCTTCAGTCAAAGAAATGGTTCTATTTTGTTTAGATAGAACCATTTGCATGCGTAAATAGTTCTTTGCTTGGTGAGATGGTTCTTCAGATTGAATCAGAAGGTTCTGCATAGCACCAAAAAGGGTTCTGCTGTAAGGTTGACATCGTAACAGTAGAAGAACCCTTTGTGGTGCTGTATAGAACCGTACACAACACATTCTCCACCAATCTGAAGAACCATTTCACCATGCAGAGAACCATTTAAGCATGTAAATGTCTCTATACATAACTTATGGTTCTAAATAAAACCATTCTCATTACTAAAGAACCCTCGAAGAACCGTTTTTTAGAGTGTAGCGCACGAGCCTGAATACGGGTGGGAAAAGGAAAGAAAATAAGGCGTTTGACTTAACGGTGTTTGTGGGCGGACTCACAGGTCCAGTTTCGACTGTTGCTCCGGAAACCTGGGGGAGGGGAGGTCGTGACGTCACCGTTTCGAAGAGTGAGTCATGTTTCGACTCACCTGTACCTCAGGTGAGCAACAGATCACACTATGGAGCATTTTTTCGTTTGTTTGTTTGTTTTTTAGACTATAAATAGGATTGTTTTCTCCTATATGTGGTTTATATATGACTGTATCAACTAGTGACTCATTGCTTTGTTATGTATCATCTTCATATGTGATTTGAAAATGACTGTATCACCTGTTCATATGACCTGTGATGTAATTTGTATATATAAACGATAATGGTGTAATTTCTTCATCTTTATATACGACCGTATCAACCAGCGACACCTTTTTAATCGTTTTAATTTATATTTTCAAAACAAACAGCAACAACTGACAGATTTAAAGAGGAATGATGCCTTTTCCCCACTTTAATCTGCTGCAGGAGGTCCGCTTCACCTCTTAAACATGAAGATGTTCTTTGGAGTGATACCACCAAAGAACCCCCTTTGGATCCCCTTAAAATACCACACAGTTTAGTTTTTAAAGACCCATCTTTTGTGAGATTCTTCAAAGAACCAGAAGTGCAGATCATCAGAGCAGGTCAGTGAATTCTGAAGGAATCCTGAAGATCACAGAGCTGCAGGTCAGTAACCTGAAGACGCTGGTTCCTCGGTTCCCTTTGTTTCTGCTTTCACTGTAAACACAAGAGCCAACAGCCCTCATAAGTCATGTTTCTGTGAGTGTCTTTGAGAAGAACTGATGATACAGAACAAACAGATTTAACTCTTCAAAATGACCATTTACCATTTAATCTTTGACAAGATGAGCTGAAACAAACATCACGTCTCCAGACAGTGTAATGTTTCACATTACCGCATGATACATTACATTCACGGTAATGCATTATGCATTATTGTTACTGTATGATAAAATGAATGATACATTTTAGGCATCAAGAGCAAAATTTTTAGGATACACTACATTTAAAATATCAAGAAAAATCTAATTTCACCCTTTGAAAAACATACCACTCACTCCCCAATCCACACAGTCCATACATGCAAACAAACTGCAATACAAACCCATTTTGAATTCATTGTTTTTCAGATGTCACAAAAACACATTTGCTTATATCCACCCATTCAGCCCATGGCAGTTAAGCATCACCCAATCGCACTGAAGTTATAAGGAGTGTTTCAGCCCAGACTGACTTTTTGAATAATGATACTTTATTACGGCCTTTTGGGAAATCAGAATGAAACAACAGCAAACATACACTGTGAAAAGTGGCTCGTCAGTTTCACCTAAAAAATGACTTACTGTGGTAACAAGCAATTGAACTAGTTTTATTCAATTAAAAAATGACTTTGATTGAAAGAATCGTTCATTCAAAGTATTTCCTTTGAATAAAAGTAGTTCATTTACTTGTTACCAAATGAAGTAATTTTTTCAGGTTGAACTGATGAGACATTTTTCACAGTGTCACAATATAAAACAATACACAATCAATAATCAAGATAAATACATAAATACACTAAGAAAAACATAATACAATATATATCCTATGGTTTTATTGCCTTATTAATACAAATAAGACTATAAGGCAATACAATAGAATTTGGCAGTATGTATGTATATATATATATATATATATATATGTGTTACTTTACAGGAGAAGGAAAAAAAATACTGTACGTCTAGTGTAAGTCAATGGAACCAGACGTTTTCTCCTAGTAAAATTTGGTCATTTTTTTTTGGTCCATTCATCATGAAATTTACACAAATGTAAAGAGCAACAGGTACTTTCAAATTATGTCAAAAAACTAAAAAATGCCAAAAATGGAGATACAAGGTTTTGTTCCGACAACAGCGAGATATATATCGGTCCTGTTGGAGCAAACTTTCTTTCTTTATTTGTATCCAGAATATTAATAAAAATAAGACAATAATACAGTATATCTGGCAGTGATATATATATTTGCTGTGGGAACAAAACTTTCTATGACCATTTTTGTCATTTTCCATTTCTAAAATATTCCATTTCAATTAAAAATTCAGTTTAAATTATGCAGTGGAGCAACCCATAAAGATAGATATTCTACAGTGCACCAAAACACTGTTTATTCATTTTTAACTTTCAGTTAAATAGGCAATTTTAGTTACTGTGCCTTTAAGACTAATATATGTTAACGAGCTCTGTTCTGATTGGCTGTCCTGCATTGCGCCTCATTTAAAAAGCAGTCTGGGCTGAAACACTCCTTATAACTTCAAGCCCCAATGGGCGGAGCTAAGCTGCTGTAGATTGAACAAGTGAAAATGTGTAAATGTCCTGTAATTTGTGACATCACAAAAACAATGAATACAAAAGGTCTGTTTTTTGCAGCTTAGGGAGTGGACATTACGTTATGAAGTTTACAGACGTCATCAAACTTAAGATAATGTATGTTAGATCAGCTAAATGAAACAAAATTAAGTGTAAGATCAACAATTTAGGCATATTTTTTTGTCAGAGTTTGATTTGAAGTCTCTCTAATTTAGGCTGATGAATAATAATGATTTTATGTGACCTGAATAAACCAGTTAAACTGCTTCTCACCACACGAGACACATATTTAGGGTGATTAACACTGTTGTTTATGTCGTGTGCTCAGAAGTGACTCATTCTCTTCTTTCTTTATCTGTCCATCAGTTTTGAGGGTCCTCCTCCGCCTGAGACCCCCTCTCACAGGACACAAAGCCCCCTTTGTGTCTTTGACTCGTTGACCAGACAAACATTTCAGCTCCTGTAGTTCAGCGGAGCGTGAGATGCCTTCAGGTATTTAGTGTCACTCAAAGCTCCTGTGAAATGTGCAGTAGATCCACTTCCTGTTTCGTTTTTTTAATTCTCAGAGCTCAGCTACGCTGAAGTTCCAGTGAACGCTGGACACTCCCAGACAAACGAGACTGAAATTTCACAGGAAGACAGTATGTCAGGTTCACCAACGGCCAAAAACCAACTTGTCTATTATTTAATAAGGGATTCCATCCTTTTTTCAACATTTCTGCCTAGTTAAACTTTCAAGAAGTGGTTTGGTGTGAAACGCTCTGTTGTAGAGAAACTTACCGAGTCAGAACTGTTCACAGTGGTGGTGATAGGAACCAGACGTCCACCTCTAAAAGCTCCCTCACAGAAAGTTACTACATGATATGGTTATGAATACAGTGTCTGATGACTGAGACATTGTTTTGTGTTTGTGCATTGTTTTGTAAAAGAATACAACATCCTTTTTTAATCCACTGATGGTGGAGGGATACATGCAGGGTGTTGTGAGGCAAAATAGTCCCCAAAAAAACCTTATTATTTCAGATTTTCCACTATTTTCCATCAACATTCCATATAAACTCAGAAGACTCGTGTAGGTTCACTGGTGGTTCTGGATAGTAAATAAAATGTCTATATTTGTGTTGTAGTCATGGCGACCCCTGGTTCCTATCACCACAACTGTAAAGAAACCTGAACCATTTCCCACTCTGTGTACATCTCACGAACTGAACTATGCAGTAAATTTTGAAAATCGGTGGAATTCCCCTTTAATGTCTTGTAAAGCTCCATCAGCTCTTCACTAGAAGAGACTTTGGAACTCAGAGTCATACATACATCACTCATGTATCAGTGATGGTCACTGTTGAAACAAAATGTTGTGTCTCCATTTTTGCTCATCCATATTTACTATAATCACAATGGGACTAATATTGTGGAAAAAACATCACTCTAGTTCTTGTAGATGTTCTAGATACACCACTGAGTGTGAATACGAGTTGTAGTCTAAGCAGGTTTGGGTTAGTTGTTAGGAATGTTTAACAGTGGCAGCAGCTCTATGCCAGAACTCTTTACTGAAAGAGTCTCTGTAAAACTGATACACACAAGCTCAGATATATGTGTTAATGTCTCTTACAAACTCCAAATATTTTGTTTTATTTTGTTTAATCTAGAACTGACTCAGAGCAGATCCCCAAGCTGTTACCCACAGCCACACTGACCCGCACTCCTCTATGTGTGTTTTTTTCAATCCCTCGTTCCTCCCATCGATTTTTGTCCCCAGCAAAGTCCTAATACCATAGCAACCGACTAGCAACCACCTTAGCAACCACCTGTGATGCCATAGCAACCACCTTAGCAACCACCTTGGATACCATAGCAACCTCCTAGCAACACCCTAGCAACCACCGGGGACTCCACAGAAACCACCTAGCAACCTCCTAGCAACCACCTGGGATACCATAGCAACCACCTACCAACACCTTAGCAACCACCTTGGATACCATAGCAACCTCATAGCAACACCCTAGCAACCACCTGGGATATTATAGCAACCACCTAGCAACACCTCAGCA